CTCCCTCCCTCCCTCCCTCTCTCTCTCTCTCTCTCTCTCTCTCTCTCCTAATACTGTACGTACCCACCACACCCCACATCCGCACGACTCCATCCCCGTAGGTACAGCGACAAGACACTGCATAGCTACCACCCACGCGGCAGTAGCGCGCAAGAGCCGGCTAGCCATGGTGTTGTCGCTAGCGCGTGGGCGTGCATGGCATGCCGTGCGAGGAGCGTGTATACGGCTTTAGGGCAGTTGCGGTGCGCTTGTCCGCGTGGGGACGGATGGGGACCTGGGGGTATGGTGGGGGTGGGGTGTGGTGGAGGCTGTGCTGGCTGGGGTGGATGTGGTGGTGTTGTGTGCGGCTCTAGGAAGATATGAGAGGGTGTCAGCGCTGCTGTTGGAATAGCTAGTATAGTCACGTTGGGATCGTAGTCATAGTCACATCACACGAGGACAACACAACGTTTTGGTGGCCGAAGCGCTTTGATTTTTTCCTAAAGCTGAAAGAAGTAGTCTGTTTAGGGCAAGTGAGGAAAGAAAGCCAGTAGCAAAGTAAGTAGAAAGCCCGTTATCATAACCCGTCAGTATAAAGCCATTAGCAGAAGCTACTACGCAGAAGTCCGGACCGCTGCCATGCCATGTGAAGCCATGCATGCATGGGCCGGAGTGAGTCTTGAAAGCAAAATAAAGCAAAGAAGTGAACCTTTTATCGCTGGCTTGATGTACGCATATCCCGGTGAGAGACTAACATCAACTGAAGTAAGTGCAAAGCAAGCAAAGTGACAGAATCGAGACGGTTGTCGTCCTGTAGTGAGCTACTCGTCGTAGGTGCGCCTCACGTGCTCACGGTGCTTCCGCAGAGCTTCGTATGGATCGTCATCCAAGTTGAGCTCGTTGTCCGGACGACCAACATAGTGCATCGGGTCAGAGTGGTTGGTGAAGCCACCCGAGAGCATCTCACCACTGAAGGTGACAGTTGGATCGATATGGTCGGAAGTGTGGTCAGTGGGGAGGCTTCTAAGCTCACGCTCGTCGAGGCGGGCGTTGTTGCCAAATCCCTGATGGAAACCAAGACCGTTGACGTAGCTACCCGGTCCGGTGAACAAGTTGTTACCAAACGTGTACTGCTGGTTCGAGGGGGGAAGAGGGAACCCAAAGTCCATGGTTCTCGTGGTCGTGCCTGCAGTGGTAGCATTAATAACAGTGTTGAAGGGAGTGTCCTTCATGTCTACATCAGCCGTGCGGTCGGACATCTGATGGGGAGTCTGGTTAGACATCTGATGGGGGGGCTGGTTAGACATCTGCTGAGCATGCATCTGGGCAGCCATCTGATATGCAGGATGGTTGAATGTTTGCATCTGCTGATAGGTGTTGGCTGAAGACCCGTATTGTGACAGCGGGCTTGGATTTCTTGGCCATGTCTGCATATGAGAGTTGTTGACCAGGGAAATTGAAGGACTTGGTGCGTTCCTGGGTCTCCTGGCAGCAGGGCCATCGGAGAAAGATGAGATCTGGCTCATGGGCCTCTTCAGCCCAACCATGGGAGCTCCAAACTGCTCCTGAGTAGGAACAGGTTGACGACGCAAGCTAGACGGAGACGGCAGGGTGTCGTCAGAGTTCAATGGGAAGAAGAGATCGTGGTTGCCGGAATTAGATTTGTTGCTGGGCGAAGGATTGACAAGCAACGCCGAAAGGGGCTGAAGATGGGTGCCGGCAGCGGACCAGACTTGGATCTTGTTGCTCTGGACATGACCGATTCTCTGTTCATCACGGTCAACACGCGCGAGCTTTGCCAGTTTAGATTTGTTGATGTTGAGACGAACAATCAAAGTTGGCTCAGCAGATCGACGCGGCTGATTCTGATCATGTCCGGAGTTGTTGTTGTTGTTGACGCGAGCCTAATGCGAGAGAACTATCAGTTAGTGGTGCAACAGGGGAGAAGAGATGTCAGCAGGTCCACATACCTGCGCATGCGACTGTTCGTTGTCGTCGACGACTTCTCCGTCGATCGTGGAAGAAGCCTCAACCTCATCGAGGTTGAAGGTGCTTGTCGGCATTGCCAAGTCCTGGCGCTGCATGAAAGGATCCGCTGACGTCACCGAATCACGCTGCTTGGCCAAGGCTAGGAACTGGTTCAGTTCGCTCTGTGCAGTGGCCACAGACTTGTCCTTTCCCGGACGCTGAGGGGGGACGTGAAGCCCGGCCTCGGTGCGACGGGCCCAAAGCTTCGTCATGGACTGCTTCAAACCATCGCCAGTTGCGCTCGGGTTCATTAGGGACGCGATCCTGTCCCAGGGAACTTGGCCGCCCTGGGCCTCAATGACCCACCAAAACGCCAATAAGGCCTGGTTGAACATATCATCTGTATCATGTAAGTACGAGTCCTTAAATTGAAGAGCAAGCGGTAACTGACCGTTCCAACGGATCAGCTCACGCTTGGCCGGACGATGTGCAGTGCGATAAGGAAGGGCCTTGATCTCCCTAGGAGCACCTTCCAGGTTCTCCCAGTTCAAGACAGCCTTGGTGGGCGTACGGTTTTCAGAAGGAAGCTTAGGGTCGGATTTCTTGGAGGGCGTCATGTTCATGGTGTTCCTTGACGAAGGCGTGCGTTCTACGTCGTCATAGTCACCGTAGTCATTGCTGAGATATGAGGGAACGAAGTCGTCGTCGTCCTGCTCAATGGTGTTGCCATGGGAACCAACTCCCACAGAAGGTTGAGTCAGCAAAAGCCGCAAGGCAAAGATCGTTCAAGGCAGGGAGCAAATGGACTTACAAATGAGCTTTTGGACCATGATGAGAGTTGGAAGCGGTAGCGGTTCGGATGCTGTTGTAAGTGGCCGTCGACAGGCGCAGTAGGCGGCAACAACAGTGTTGACGAGAACAAAAGAACAAAGACCCTCGAAATCACTTTTGTGAAGGCTTTATGTCGGCCAAGGTGTGATCAAAACGCTGACGTGGAAGCTTGTGACGGAGGGAAAGCGACTGTCGATGTTAGTGTTAGCGACTTCCGGGATGCAAGAACAGACTGACGTCAATTGAGTGGTTCAAAGTGCCTTGGAGATTCGGGGAAGGAAGCAGTCGGTGGGTAAACGGCGGTGGAAGTGCCGCCGGACCTAGTGCCGACTCGGACAGCTGCCGTCCTGGATCGTCGATGCGAGGGCGTCGGTGCGAGGTCAAGGGCGTGCTTACACTGGAAGCAGATGGATGCAACGGCACCCGAACGTGCAGCACCGCTGGGGGATTGAGGGAAGTCTGGTGCTCTCTGCTGCCGGTGGATGGTGGTGGGGAGATGGAGAGAAGAAGGACAGGTGTGGAAGAGAAGAGAGAGCGGCTTAAAAGGCAGCGGCACCGCCCCGGATAATCGTGACGCCTTGGCTTTCCGGAAGAGGCAGACGCGAGCCTGACGAAGGTTTAAGCAGGTGCAACAGCCGTGTGCTTGCAGGGTCCTTAGCAGGCTGCTGCACTTTCACAAGGAGCTGTGCCTGCCGGGCTTTGGCCGAGCTTGTTCTTCGGGCGAGATGCAAGGTGTAAAATGAAGGCCGCAATGTGTGAATGCGTAGAGTGTCGACTGCTAGTAGACTTCGTCACACCCGCAATGCCTTGTCCGCGACGCCGTGACCTTGTTGCCAATTCAATCCGCCAAGGTGTTCCACAATGTTCAGGGACAATGCAGCCTTGTAGTAGTAGACGTCGTTTCCGCGTAGGCTTGATTAGAGCAATGTTCTGTGGATGCTCTCGTCAAGACTCAAGAACGGCCGATGTGAAAGATGACACCATGCCAATGGCTGTTGTACAGAGCTTTCACGAAGCCCAAGGTTCGACGTAGTAATGAACGACTTTAGCTGGAAATTGAGTCTCCAAGTTGGACGTGTAGGGAGTTTCATGAGCAGAGACTCATGGTGTCTATAATGACCTAACACAATGCCTTTATAAACAATAGGCCTTTAGATAATGACAACCGAAGTGAAGTAAAAATGCACGGGAATTAATGACCACGTGACTGTATTTTTTGACGTGAGACGAGGATAGGAAAATAGGAAGTAAAAAATGTATTTCTATGCTCATGAATGTTAACAATGTCATTGTAGAGTCTACAAAGGTAAAGAACAATAGCATGCAGATGGAAGATAACCTTAAACCGTGATTCAACATACGATTAACATGGTTGTTGGTGTTGATCATTAGGACTGGTAAACACCAAAAGCTTATGACCTAGCCGTCAATGCAAGCAAGAACCTGCGACGATTGTTGAGGGCGATTTCTTTGGCTGAGGGCATTGAAGGAGTAGTCTGGGGCTCTGCAAGCAAAGCAATTCTTTCGTTGCCTTTCCCATATTCACCTCAGCGGCTTCACACTTGTCTCCACGTATTCTCAGGGCGAGTGACTTGCTCAATGTTGATGGATTGCTTCGTTCAAGGTATCTGTAAGAGAGGATGGACGTTGGTCTATGTGGAGACGCGGCGAGGAAAATCGTGGGCCCCGAGCACCCCTGGCCCATGCTCACAGCACCGAGCAGCCGCCCTCGACCCAGCCAACTACTCCGTCATCCATCATCTCAAGCCCTACGCGGGCCAAATCCCCTCTTCATCTGTGTCGGCACCCTAGCGGACCAAGCCTGGCCTCTCATGATGCGCATGCCACTGCGAGAGGGCTCACGCTCCGCAAGGCGCGAGTTGACCTCGTCGTGAAGCATACGCAACCAGTAGATAGCGCTACACCCGACATTGTCAGCAACTTCCAAATGGATGAATCTTTCTGGTATCCACTTACGCGGCCCGACCACTTGACATGCCCGTCAGGAGGGCAACCTTCTCCCAGTTGATTCTCGGGGAGCTCTGCTTCCTATCAGTAGTATCGCGGTTGCGCGGTCGCTTTGGTTACTAACCTCGTCGCGATCCGGCGCCCAGTTGCACATGCAAACAATCAAGAAACAGTACTGCGCATATCCGAAAGTGCGCACACCATAGGTGGTACGCATGCCTGCTGCTTGTTAGCTGGGATTCAGGGGGCGATGCACCGAAGAGAGTAGAGGCCGGAGAGGAGGGCAAAAGGCGCTTCCGTACGTACTTGAGAGGATTGTCGAAGGGCCTTGTGGACCTGGAGGATTGGGTGCGGCAAAGGTGGCTCCGTAAGTGGAAGACTGTTTCTGCTGTCAACAAAAGATTTCTAGCGCTACTAGGTAAATGTAGACGGGAGATGAGCGTCCGAGGATATCGTGAAGAGTTGCTGGAGATGGTTTACCTTCATGACTGCTACTGACTGTCGTTGCGAAGAACAGTCCTGTGGGTAGGTTGCCGTTTTTGTTTTGATTTTGAGCGCGAGTTAACCCATGTGATGACCACCTTGGTCCGAGCGGCGCCCTACTGACATCAACCCCTACGACAGGTCCCCTTGGCACTAGTCGAACTTGCGACCTTCTCATGAGCTTGGTTTCGTCAACGCTCGGCGTCTCGATGTTCTTTCCAGCTCGTACAACCTTCTATTAACAACATATTGCACTCTCACCGGATCTTCATCCTCAACAACTTACAGCTCTCTTTTCCGGTCGCAGGCTTCCCTGGTCATCCTAAGTTGTCTAGAAGACATGGTTTAGCCCGACGTCCGTTCAACTGCTAGCCAGCGGTCAATGATAGAGGAAAGAGACCATCAGTAAAGATGCAGTGAAGTCTGCGTCATTATACGACGGCATTTTGTATTCTGTAGGTCGAAGGTACTCCTGTTCAATCGACTTCAGATAGCGAGCAACCTACAAAGTCGAAGAAGCCTTGGGATTATGACACGGCTAACGAAGCCGACTGGACTCCGCCTACCTTTACCAATATCTGTTCACAAAGTTAGCGGAGATGAAGACGACGTTTCTCGCTGATGCGACGCCATTCGTTTGTGCCTGTCGACCCTCAGCCAAGACACATCCTTCCATAGGTTCCCGAACTCACACCGGAAACCTTTGGTGCAAACAAGCAGCATGTTCACAGGCTTGCTTGTAACCATGGTTTCACTGATTTGAGAAGCCGGAGCGAACAAGCGCACCAAGCCGCCAAGGAGCGTAGATACAAACCAGAGCAACATCCGTCCATGCCAACTGGCTACCTGTAAGGAGTTAGAGACCTGGGAAACAACGGAATGATTGAGGGGAACACACTGCTGCTTGCGACCATACAGCTACCGGTAGAATCCAATGAGGCCATTGTATACTGGAGCACTGGTGGGCACCGGAACCTCATTGGTTTCAGATACGGAAGCATTGGGAATGCATCCACACAATCGACCTGGCCAATATGGATGGACAAGGCTCGGCTTCCCTGACTGGGCTTTTGTATCGAGTCAGGTCCACTTGCTGATATTCATGGTCGGCGAGAAACTGAACGATGAGAAAACTGGGAACTGGCGTACGGGTAACGGCATCGTACCCTTGTACCCACCCCAGCATCGTTGGGTCAAACCGAGCCTCCTGTTGGAAAGCTCCCGGAGTACTTGGGTCACTTATCCAGGAGGAAAAGGAAATCAAGATTGACTGAATCTCGGACGAGAAATATACGAAACACTTACCGGCCTGAGCCCACGCACTGCGGACCCACCCAGGGAAAACGAATATACAGCAAGCCAACCTTTTGGTAGCAATCATATGGCCAAGAACGATCGAAAGAAATCTGGTATAACGAAGAGTGCCTTCAGATAAATTAGCATCAAGCATACAGAGACATGACCGGACATCCAACCCTTGGGTAAAAGTACGGGCGAGTACATTACCTCGTGGAGTGCTCAACGGCTCCAGGATCCATCATTTTCGTTGCCAGAATTACAGCAATCTGCAGAACAAAGAAAGCCTCGAACTTCGACCTGCCCCCCGAAGGGTATGTGAGCATCTCGATTACTGAAAGGCTCTTTGCGTAATCCGCAGCCATTCTCTACATAACATGTATGAAGGCAAGGAACTGCACCTGTTTTAGCACCTCCTTATGCCTCTCCGTCTTGAGATGCTACTGTCAACCAGATTATGGCGAAGGTTTTTTTCAATCTCAGCATCCGCCGTGACCGGACGAAACTCGACGTAACGAACAGTTGCTCAAACTGTACGACAAAAAGAGCATCATCGCAGTGGACGGTGTCCATAACATCCCGGCTTTTTCAAATTTAAGCACGGTAGTGCGCATCTTGGGTCCTCGCGGAATTGTAGTCCTAAGCCTAGGGTTAAAAAAAGGTGTCTTTCGAGGAACCATGCACACACCTGATCACTTTGGCATTCGACCATCATTTGGCAGATTCCGACATGCCAAGGGAATATTTGGAGCTCCCTTAGACATGCCTTCGGTATTTGTGCCAGTTTGAGAAGAGATGTGTGTCGGCTGTCAGAGGTGTGAGAGCTTCCGAGTACAGATTTGGCAGCACATCAGGAAAGCCAAAGTAAGGTGTTCTGCATCCCGAGGATTGAGTCGTATAAAGAGCTTGGAAATGGTTTCATTGTAGATGGCCCTCGGACGGAAAGTGACGTCCTTCCAGCTACCTACAAAGTGATCCTTGGTTTATTGTGACCTCAACCATGTTTCCTTGCTCTTTTCGGCTTATTGGTTCGTCCGCTTTGCTGAGACAATGGCCTTGTTTTCGGCTTAGTCGGCCTTCTCGGTGCCGCTAGCTCCCTGTGCTTGGGCAATACCGCTGTCAACAGGCGCTCCTCCGGGGCCAGCGGCAGCGCTGCCCGAGTTGGGGTTGTCAGAGAGGTGGGCAGTGGCGGTAGGCTGCGGGTCTTTAAGGAACGCCTCCGCGATGCGAGCTGCGTATCTGATCTTTCCGAGGCCGACCTAGAAGCACCCTGTGTCAGCTCCCGGTTGGCATCTTGTTCCCGGCTGCACGTACTCCTTCGGCATCGAGAATCGGCTGAATACCCAGAAACTGGTAGCTCTTTGAGGGGACCACCGGCCGCTCGCTCTCGGATTGATCGGCCATCTCTGCGTTGTTCAGGAAACAGGAGTCCTGGTCCGTGTTTCTGGGGTCGGGGTCGTCGCGATGGACTTGGAAGGTCTGAATGCTATCCTGTGGCTCAAGGGACTGTCAGCGTTCACGAAACGGCGGAACAAGTTCTTACACTGCAAAGCACGTCAATTGGTGGACTTTCAGTTGCCGATGTGCCGTCGGGGTTGAGAGTGCAAGAATCTCCCAGCGGTGCGAGCGTCGTCGGTCGATGGTGGTGGTTGCGGTGGAAAGTCGCGGCCGCCTTAGGTCTGGGGGTTGACCGCGCACAGGACCCCCGCCAACATTGCGAGACTGTCTGCACAGAAGCTCTGGAATCAATGCTCCCCGCGTTACTTGTTGACGGGACAGGCCTGGGATACACGAGCTCCGTCACTGCTTGCTGCTGATACTCCATTGTGCGGCAGGGGGCGCCTTGACTCTGGTCAAAGACTCACAAGCGGCTTTCTTTCTGGAAGTTACCAGCATCGTCAGCATCCAAAGCCCCTTCAGAGTGTCTCGAGGGCATATGCACGCTGCAACTACGATTGAAGTGCTGTAGACTGTCCAGCGGCTGACTAGAGGCTCAACTACTGCGGAAGGCCCTCGCGATGTCAATGCCCTCCTTCCTGCCTTCACAAAAGTAGTGCAGTGCGAACAGTGTGGATGATCCGTTTTGCGCAGCATCGGCAGAAAGCCAACTTCTCTGCCACGCACGAGGCTATGCACCTACTGCGGAGTGCTCAGGAGTTGGCTGAAAGCCCTCTCGAGACCTTCTTGCCACGAAGCCCACACCGTACAGGAGCTCATTAATGTGACCGCTGATAGCAGCGCCGGAGAGCTCGAATCCTCAAAGTGCCGCTACTACACTTCCGACATGATTACTTACCTAATTACCTTGTTGTACTTCATTGTTCCCGCAATGGAAAATGATTGTGAGCGTCTGCTGCACTGGTCAAACGCTATCGGATATGCCTCAGCCGGTTTCCTCTGAAGTTCAGTCCTTTGGGACTTTGGCTAATGTTGCCAACTCCCCGTTCGGCCACTGCAGTTCGTCGGAGCGTAAAAGCAGAGCCACGTTATGAGACACCCACCATAAACTTCCAAAAGAACCTTCTATTATTTGCCGAGATGTGTAACATCTGCTGCTAGAAGTCCGTCTGGTGGGAAGCCCCAGACTTACTTTGAAAAGATGTCTAAAGTTTAATCTTGGTATCCGTCAAAAGGATAAGACAACAAAAACGCCAAACCCTGTAATCCCCCCGGCGCATGGTTCCATCCTCCAACCAACCTATAATGCGTGCTTTCCCCGAGGGCTTTAACCTCGCCAGTCTGGCGACAGGCGAGGACCACGAGGGCCCAGGGCGGCCCAACTTTTTGGCGCCCAATAGGGATCCTTGAGTCGCCGGGCGATACTTCTACACAGTTGTGGCTGACCTCACTTGTCGGCCAAGAAGCACATCCTCAGTCCATTGATAAAGCCGACTTTTCAGTCTGTCGCGAACTTTGACTTGTACATGGCCATTTTTTTCTTCATCCACAACGGTGTAAAGAAAAGACTTAGTCAGTTCTCCATTTGGCCAATGGCCAAGCTGCGGAGGTTAAAATCCCATGGCCGGGAGTAGGATACCGACCGCATCCTTTAGGTCTCCAGGATGTGTCACGTTGCTTCGTGCATCAAGACAATCGCCCTTATTGGTCACTGCGCGTGATACATAGGGGTCTTGTCTTCATAATCTTCTCCCTGCTTCAAGTGGAAAGATTAGCCCTCGGTAATCCCAACAATTCCAAGACAAACGGAAAACATCATCGCTCTCATGGTTCAGATACTTTGAACTTTGTTTTCTTCACTGGATTTACCGTGCAGAAGACCTTAGGTATCATCACGACCATATTCGATCGGGCCATGTCCGTACGTACCTTGACTGTGGTGTCATGAGCTTGAGGTGGTGCTTGCTAGTTATTATGACAGAGTTGCTTGCCGGGATGCAGAAGCAGACGCTTCGCATCGGCGCGATGTGAGAGTGAGTTCCGAGTCAACGGTGCTGAAAACCATTAGCCATGTCCTAATGCAGGGATGCGAGAGGGATATGGGCTGAAGGTCGGATCAACAAGGTTCGTGTTCTTGTCTAAGTGCTTTTGCTCGGAAGTAAGCCTGTCGAATTCCTAAGACACGTTGAAGTACGATGAAAAGCTGACGAGCCATTCGGTTAGCATTGTTGTTTCGAAGGACGCCCACAGTCGAAGTACTTGCCTTGAGTTATGGATCGCTTCTTTCGGTAGTTAAGGAGACTGACATGCGTACAGTATTGTCGTAGTCTGTGTCGAGCAAAGCAGAAAGCTCATGCGTTGCTTGTTCGTCAGAGCTTTGCAGTATCGAACGCGTGGTTCACTCCAGCTCCTTGGACGACTGACCTTCAACTGGCTGTAGGCCTTGAACTGACTCTGTCGGGCAGCATCATCTACTAGCCCCTGATCGCAGTGAGATGCCCACGTCAGGTCTCGGCTTCGGGAGAGAGGCCGCTCAGCCGCCGAAACATCGAGGAGTTAGCCCGCTTTCAACAAGCCCGACCGTCAAAAAAGATTCGGTCATCATTGGCTTGAATGAGCTGCCTTCGCTGATGTAGGCTGTCAGGTTTGGTCGGTGGCTGAGTTGTTGGAGTTGGTTGGGGGTGTTGTGGATTTGGAGAAAGAAGTGCGTTGCGACAGAGAAAACAAAACGACGCGCGCCAAAAGAGATGCGCAGGACGCTTGACGGTGACGTCGTCCGGCAGTGCTAAAGCCGCCGCTTGAAAAACAAACCCCTTTTCGTTGTCCAGCGCCGACAGTCGAAGCCAGTTTGCTTGCACCGCATCTTTTCGTTTGCTTGCATCTGCTCCCTTTCTCTGCCTATGCCTATCTCCAAGACTCTGGACAGCGCTTCTGCGCACGCTAAGATGGCTCCAAGGCATGCTCACAGCCATGGAAAAGGCTATTTTGGCTAAACCAGCTTTTGCTTTGGGACCGGAAGACGAGCTCTTAGGCCCACACGGACTCGCAGCAGCCAACATGCAGCCGCATGCGTGAGAGCGGGGCACCATTTGCTCACAAAGAAGTTCCCAAACGCTACTGCAAATGTTGTCGCTGCTGACGATGTGTACAGGTTACGCAGTCTACAACTTTCGAAGCTGACATCTTCTGCAGTTTCAAGAAGCACCCCGCAAGCTGGGGCAACCTCCATGAGTGGCCAGGCGTACAGCGACCGAGATCATGAATGGCAGCAAGGAGTTCGGGTGAAAAGGGGTTTCCCAGATCAACGACCGGAGATTCTTGAGCCTTTCTGTCAAGCCGCTCCAGTGCCATTGGGCCCTTCTAAAACGATGCCCAACTCTCTACTACATGCCAAACGTGCCGACGAGACAGTCGAGCCTCTCATACCCTTTACGACGAGACAAGACCGTTGTGTATTGACGCCGACGCCAATGCTGAGCGCAATCAACGAATATCGCAAACCCGAACGGCCGAGACTGCCATACCTTGCGTTCAACTCCGTAGGCAATAAGCACACAGAGCCAGTAGCGCACACAGTCACAACCCCTGGCCAAGCTTATTTGACCCGCGTCCGTCTTCACGCAGTCCTACACGCCAAACAAACGGCGACCGAGTAGAAGCTCTCTCTTAACTCTGGAAGGTCGATCAGGATGCCAACCCAGAAATGATACAACGATATCGCGACACAGATAGATGTTCTCAGCTGCATTTATGCAGTTCCGAACCACGCAAGGTCAATTTGGTCAGGCCCCACAACGAGTTACAAGTAAGGACTTCCGGGTAGGTTTTCAGTGCAAGCGCCTATCCGCATTGGCTCCAGTTTCCATGCCCTATAAGAAGATGACTATACGCTAAATCAATCTCTTACGTAGGGACCCATTATCCTAGTGTATGTTCAATAAATCCTTTAGAACAAAACTCGCATTTTCCTTAGATGCGAAAGCTGCCTCTTGCCGCTCCAAAAAACGTCCGTCACGGTCAGCCGAGATTCACCACCTAGCGAGATAGGGAACAATAAGAGCAGCCGCTACGGGCTAATCTAATGTAACTACAAACCTAAATTCTGGATATGAGCAAAATGGTCTTAGAGCACACACATACTAAGCACCTTAACTGGATTGCTTCTTCAACTCCGTACAAGCGTCATTATCTCGCTTGACGGTGACGGACGTTACTCTCTATGCAGGTAAGGGACAGATAATCAATGGAAACTGAGCGGTTATTGGGGGTAGTTGGACTCCTTCGAGGTATTCTCATAAGTAAGTTTGGGAAGAAGAAATGCAGCGGTTCTTGGAAGTCAGATGGATGGATACCAAGATTATGGCAGGCGGTGGTACGTATGGATTAGTTTAGTCAGGCATTGCATGCATCAGACAAAAAAAAAGATCAAGACCATTAGCTTGAGGGGGTAAAGTGCCTGGTTAAATGCACAAAATATCCTATTTCGTCCTCCGCATATCCAAATTAATCGCGTTTTTAATCAAGCACAAAACCCTTATACACACAAAGCATCAAATCCCTCAGACATCCCACACACCAGGATTACGGACGTGTGATCCAAGATCTGCACAAACGACGAGCACCGTGCGGCAGCAATCCCTGCCGCAGTGGTGCAACCGGAGCAGGGGGGTACGACAGGGATCAAGGACAGGGCCAGCTGCAAGCACTTTTCCCCGTTGCCCCGCGACGCGTCGAGCTCACGGGACGACGTGAGGCCGAGACTCGCTGGATTGGCGAGATCGCGTATGCGCTGTGCAGCGGTGACGTCTGGCGGAGGAGAGGGCGCGGACGGCGGCGAGAGCACCGGCAAGTATTTTAACACGCTTGTCTGCTGTTACGACTCGTCACGTCGGTCTACGGAACTTCTTTAAAAGTCCACGCTCCAGTCATTGGCTTTTGTGGTCGCCTGCTTTCACTTACATCGCTCCCAACTCTAACCTTTCTCTTCCACACCTTCTTCCCGACACCCAGCCTCCGAGCACACTCGCCTACAGATAAACCATCTACCGACATACCTCACAATGACTATCGACTGGAAATCTCTCGAGAGTTACCAGCGTCTTCTCGGCGCCATGGTTGCCGCCTCGGACAACAACGTAAGGCTACCTCTAACTCTCGTCCCCACAACCTCACTTCCGCCTATCCAAACATTTCTATTACCTTCCGATACCTGCTTTCAAAGGATCCTACTAACCAACCTTCCGCTTTTCTAGGTCGACTACAAGAAAGTCGCCTACTTCTACGGTCAAGGCGCGACCTACGACTCCATCGAGGGCCGCTTCCGCATCGCCAAGAAGCAAGCCAACGTGCTCAAGAAGGAAGCCGAAGATGAGAATCGCGTCATGCCAGCCAGCCGCGCCAAGTCCACGACTTCCACTCCCCGCAAGCCGAAGGCGAAGCCAACTCTTGACACCGCGAACGGTAAGTCTCGATCACGCTCACTCTCACCTCTACTCTTTCAGTCTTTCCATCTCGACTCAGGCACTAACTCAAGCCCCTACTGCAGGCGGTGTCATCTCAGGCCGCGTAACCAAGAGCCCGTCTAAGAAGAAGGCCGCTGCCCCCAAGAAAGTCAAGCAGGAGCCGCACACTCCGACCAGCATGTCCGACGCCTACGGCGATGATGAGGGTGGCTACACGAACTACAACGCGTCGACCGACCCCGCCAGCGCCGAGGGCGCCGATTTCACCACGTCCTTCTCATTCCCGGACGTCGGCAACTGGGTCCACGAAAACGGCACCGTGTGAGCGCCGCTCTGCCTTCTGCAACTGCAGCAGAGTTGCTACGGCAACCAGTCTGCGCCGGACTAGGCTCTGGGTGCTCGGGTTCCTGGGTGGACGGTTTCTTGTTTTTGCTTTGCTTTGTTTTTACTCTTCGGGCTTGCTAGGTCGGCAAGGATTCTTTATGAAGATTGAGGCGTGCGAGGGTGCCAGGGTGTTTCTATGCGAGCCGGTTCGGAAGCCTATTCCCCCCTCGCTTGGCTTTTTCTTTCCACAAAATTCTCCTATTGCATGCATGCGTCCTCGGGATGCCGGGTTCTTTGGAAAGGGTTAGCTAATAAACGCAACGACATCAGATTCATTAAATGACTTGCTGCTTAAGAGCTGTTTCGCTGTGTTGATTAAAGCTGATATCAGCTTAGCAAATGCTATAGAGGAATAGATAGGATTTGAGATATAAAAGGAAAGGGTATTTATCTTAGGACTTCGAGAGTTAAGCTAGGTTAAGCAAATTCTATAGATGCTTTAAAAGTATAAGAGTAGTAGGAAGGCAGAGACGTCCATGCTAGCAAGTGTTTCCGCTGTAACATCAACTTCTCGACCGCTCGCAATTATGGATAAAGTGAAATGTCTAACAGAACCCCCCTCAGCCACCGTGAACGACCACAAGAACCACCAACACCGAAAGCCCATATCGTCAAAACCAACAAGCAGCAAGCCAAAAAACCAAAACCCCCGTAACAACGCCCACAACCGTGCACGCAACCCCCACCCGCAACAGCAACCAATACAAAACGCAACCTTACAGCCAAGGCACCGCACCCACGCCCACGCTGCAAATACACAGCGCACAGCCCCTCACAGCAGCCGCGCAGGCTAGCATGCTGCGTTCACGAGCCCGTCGTAGCCCGTCGTAGCCGCCAACGCGCTGCGCACGACTGCCCGCCGATCTGGACCCACGCCCCACGACGCCCCATGCACACCCGCTGCCCGCTAGCCGGGCCGCAGCAAGCAGCAAGCAGCGCAACGGGCGGTTGCCCCTGCCGACGGTGCGGCGCTACTGCCACACTTACCTTGTTGACGCCATGATGCCATTGCCTATTGTCCACCCTGGCAACGGGTAGCAGGCTAGCAGCTGGCTACTAGCGACGCCCGCAGCGGCCCGTTGAGAGCGCTGCGGCTTTTTTTGCTTTTTCTCTTTTTCTCCTTTTTTCTTTTGCGTGCGAATGAGGTGCTGCGGAGGCGGGACGTGGGCGGCGGATGTGATAGATCGGCGGGGACGTTTTGTGACGGGGTTGGGCTGGGACGGCTTATGCACTGCACGCACTTTAAGGGGGGGGGTTGCGAGTTTTTTGTGGTGTCGTCCGGGCAGGACGCGCCGCGCTCGGTGCCGGGGAAAGCGCTTGCCGACGCGACGCGATGGATCCATCCATTGGTGTGCTTTTGGACTCTACTCACTCACTTTGTGCCTACGATATCTTTGTTGTGCGTACGGCAACCTACTGGGTACGCGCGAGTCGCGCCCATGCACGCGTCGACGGATGCGGCCGCTCTTTGCAGCGCGCTGAGCGCGCCGTTTGGTACGAGCTGCCGTGTCGGCCGGCCGATCCCCCGCCGCAGGTGGACACCAACGTCTGACCACGTCCTGGCAGCAACGCGGCGACACGGCTATCTCGATCTGCGCGGCGCGGCAGGTTCATTTATTGGCTCCAGATGAAGGGAAAGAGGCGTTCTGATGCAGGATTGTGGCTTCGGGGATGCAGGAACAGGACGCGTCTGCACGGCGAAAGACGACCACGACCGCGTCCGCGTCCTGGGCCTTTACGACGGGCTTCCTCCGGGGTACTCACCGCTTCTATGGAGCACCCTCGACGGACCCTCGTCGGCTGTGATTGCGTGTCAGAGCTACAAGGGGTCCGGCCAATGGCGCCGTCCACTTCACCACACATCAGGCGAGCGGCGATCTCCCAGAGCAGAGCTGATCGTTTGACGACAGCAAGGACAATGCGCACGCGGTCATGGCCAGCTCGTACGGATCTTCGTTCCTGCATTCCCGCTCGACGCCCCCATTGCTTTCCGTGACCTTGCTGATCTCGAGTAGACCTTGTCGACTTCCGTCGAGCTCGACGGAGTGTGTTGCTGAACATGGCTGAGAACCGCTTTTGCATGTCGAAACACCTCCAATGCGTGGTCAGATTTTCTTATCAAACATTTGGTTTTGCGTTGCCGGCTCTTTATGCGTGTCCTGACTCTCCTATCGTTGAAACTGCTGGCTGATAGCCAGCTAACCCGTGAATGTTTACAGAGGCATACGCAGATCCCGCGCGAGTTTGGACTCGGCCATTTTTGCTGTCGAGCTGGCGTTGCCGACAATGCCTGTCCAGCATTGCATCATGCATCAGTTGGTGCGACTTTACCATGCACACCGGGTCCCTCCGTAGAGAACGGTTCTACGGCACGTTAGCTTTGCCCCCCTGCAGCAGGCTCGAAAGCGAGTTTTAGACCGACGTGAGGGAGTTCAAGGATACGCGTGCGCGCCTTAGCGCAGCGTCCGTGGCAGATGCATGCAGCGCGAGACGCGTATCCCTGCAGTGTCCTCGCGTTCCGGAGGAACCGACTGCACCGTGGTGACGATCACAATGGTTCGTGATGATGGGCGGCGCTTGTGGGCGAAAGAGCACGGCAACTTGTCGTGGCCGCTCTTTCAGCGTTGAAGTCTCCGGCCTCTGCGAGAAGGAGACGGAGATTGTCCTTTGCGGGAGATGCTTGGAGAAAAAATACTTGCGGTGACTGCCTTGCGCTCCTGCGCCGCCTGCGCCGGCTCTGCGCTTCTTGACTTGACTTTGCCCTTTCACATCCCATCCCTCTACCTTAACATCAACACCACCGGCCTCTTAGCTTCTTGAGCTTAGATTTCCTGTGACACTCCCACTCGCTTCTCACCTGTGACGCACACAACAAAGGTAGGCTTCCCGCTCATCGATAACTCTTCCCATGACAACCTTTTCGGTCCATCCTGTTGCCATACTCGTTACCACTCTCTTTTGCTCTAACCTGCTCGTATCTACTGTATCACGTCTGATCGTTGCTCTAGTCTACTCTAGCCATACCAAATTAAAGCCGACTTCACTCGACCAACAGTCAAGATGCCGATCCGTTGGACTTCCGATAACGACCAGGTCGTAAGTATTCCCTATATGGCGCGCCTCTCACAGACACTCCAGCTGACATTACCAGCTCCTGCTTACGATCATCAACTCCCATAATTTCTCTATCAACTATGACACCGTCGCCGAGCACTGGCGTAAGTCCAGCATGTCCGAACCTCACTTCACCTCACATCAACCAACTAACATGTCTCACAGCCAAGGACCGCGGAGAGATCCCCACCGCCCGCGCGATCCGTGAACGCATTGTCAAGCTGAGGAATACCAGCGGCGTAAGGGGTACCAGATCCACCGGCAGCGCTGCGTCCACGCCCCGCGCCCCGCGCACCACGGGCACGCCGCAGAGGACGCCGGGCTCGAAGGCGTCGACGGCCAAGAAGCGCAAGCGCACTGACGACTCCGACGACGACGACGAGGAATTCCCGAGCACCGTCCCCAAGCGCGAGCTCCAGGACCTGCAGAACTCACCCTCTGCCGGCCGCGGCGGCCGCACCACCACGGGCACGCCTCTGCGTCACTCGGCCTTCCAGGGCAACGGCCACACCCTCGGTAGCAGCGATGGCGACGCCGCGCTCGCCTCCGGTGGCCCCGTCTCCTTGACCAATGGCGGCGACTCGGGTCGCGGCATGTTCGCCCGCACGCCCGTCGCCGCTCCGCAGACTCACGCTGACGATGGCGATGACGACACCGGCTCAGCTATCTCCGGGTGCCGCTCGACGCCTCGCCGCGCCGCGTCTGCCGGCGTCGCCCGCGCCATCAAGGCGGAGGACAGCGACTCCCAGGCTGAGAGCGACATGTCCGAGTACCAGGATCAGCTGGAGATCTAGCGCTGCTCTTCTTTGGTAACAACCCAGTGCATCCAAGATAAGAGCAGAGGTTACAAGCTGCGATCAGAAACGAGCAGTACAGTCGAGTTTTCGCAAAGGCTGTTCAAGCAGTGCTCTAGGGCGCGCGCATAGCAACGCGGGTTTGTGGGCGTGCAGAGGTGCGCCATGTTTGCTGGTCGTGAGGCTGTGGCGCGAGAGCGGGTTTGAGCGCTGCAGAGCGTGGTGCTGGGGTTGCGCGTGCTGTTAAAGCGGGTTGGGCGTCAACTTTCACGAGCTTCGCCTTTCACGAGCTCCGCCTTTCACAAACTCGACAACACGTCACCGCTTACCTTGCTGCTCCGCCCTTCTTCCTTCACAGCAAGGCGGCTTCCCCAACTTTCTTTCTTTCTTTTCTTCTTCACGGCGATATGGCGGCTTGCTCACCACGGATGGACTCTTGCTTCTTGCTTCTTGCTTTTTTCTACTTGCATGCTTCTTTTCTTTTTTCATACCCTTCCTTTCACCAGCGCGACGGAGCCTTGCTGCCAGTTTTCTCTCGGATGCGGGCAGCGTCTTCGCTGGAAGCTTCACGCGACTTGCTCGACTTCGCTTTCGGCATAACGGCAACGACATGGCACGGCACGGCAAAATATGGCGGTTTGCTTGCTTGCTTTCTCGCCTGCTGGCTCTACACGGCTGGTCTCTTGCGTTTACATCTTCTTGTTCACTTCACTTCTTCCCCACATACCCACTTCTCTCTTAACACCCCAGCCCTTCACCCCACCACGACTACGCCGCACAACACCCTTGCTTACTTGCTTTCCCCTCAACCACCACCAACACCACCACTAGCACTCACGCCAACGCCGTGAAAGCTGCAGCAGCTAGTGGCAGGCTGGCGAAAAGTTTTCTTTTTGCTTTCCTTTGCTTTCTACTCCCTTCTTCTGGTTGCCATTTGCTGCTTGCTGGACTGGATGGACTACCTTTCCTGCTTGCTTCGGCTTTCTACATACTGGTTCGGCTTTGTCGGGAGGTGCGGTATATACGTGCGTACTTGCGCACTTGGCGCGGCGAGGAAGGGTAGTTTAGCTTAGCTTAGCGTAACGTGGCGAATACTACACGATAAGATATGATCCCGTTCATGCATGTTTGCTTGTTTGCTTGCGTGCGTGCGTGCGTGCGTCGATGAATGCATGATGGTATAAACGAACGAATGCATGTCTAACTATCTAGATAGCCAACTAAACCTACTACCACCAGACCTCTTATACTATTATCTTGTTCTTGTTCTTATTCCTGTGCACAGTGACTTCTGTCCCGTAGCGCAGCAACGCAACTCTACTCTACTCTGCTCTGCTCTGCTCTGCTCGTGCCGTCCGTCTGCTGAAGTTGGGGTTTGGGGTTTGGGGTTTGGGGTTTGGAAGATTCGTGGGTGTGTGGGCGTTTTATGTGGGGATGTGTGTGTGTGTGTGCGGATGGCTGAGCGAGGATGTGTGCTGCTGCTCCTGCGGAAAAGCTAGGTCGATGTGTCTGCTGATATGGACGGGTAGGAAACCGAAGATAGGAGAACGAAAGAAAGAAAGAAGGAATGAGGATTGCTTTTTTGTTTGATTGTTTGATTGTTTGGTTTTGACTTGGTTGGATAGCTAATTATATTCACGCTCATCACCACCATCATCAACATCATCCTCACCCACAGCAACATCCCAACTACACCATAACCCTAACACTACTACCCCCTCCCTATCCCTTTAGTCCTTGACCCTATACATCCCCCCCCCCCCCCCCCCCCCCCCCCCCCCCCCCCCCCCCCCAGCACCTCTACGTACCGACGCCGTGAAACACGAATGTGTGGGCGACGCGAAGGCTCTATCCGCTGCCTTAGCTTAGTTTGGTGTAGGTATAGGTGTGGCGTGATGTGGCAGTGTGGTTTGGTTCGGTTTGGGTTGATTCGGTCCAAGGTTCGATACCATGATTGTCTGCCTAGCTACCTATTGCCCTAGAAAAAAGCTAGTACATGGCAGCGAAAAACGCTGAATCGTGCTATAGATGAGACGAGTAGTTAGTTGGATTTATAGGCAACGAGCAATGTTGTCGTTTATTTATTTTCATGCGTGAGCGGCACACTCAAGGAACACGCACGCATGTCACTGCCAGGGCAGCACGGCCAAAGTGCGTTGGCACAGCCACAACCCTTCAAGCAGCGAGCAACCGAGCAACGGGCAACCAAGCGAGCGATTTTGCTACATACCGCCTCCTCCACTCCCCTCCCTCTCCTCCTCACCTCCAACCACCACCAACACCTTAATCACCACATCCCCCCTTCCCTCAACACCAGCCAACCTAAGCAGCACGCGCAGGGGTAGGCGTAGCACCACCCGCAGGCGGGGTGCCAGGGCCACCAGGGCCACCAGGGCCACCAGGGCCACCGGGGCCACCAGGGCCGCCCGAGTTCTCGTTCGCGACGCACCCGTCGGCGTAGCAGCTGGCGGCGGCGCTGACCGTCTTGTTGATTGTCGTGTCGATGCCTGTGGGGGTGGGGAGGGTGTGTTAGTGATGTGTGTGTGTGTGTGTGTGTGTGTGTGTGTGTAGAAGGGTTGAGAGGGGAGGGAGAGTGGAAGGGGGAGGTAGGTAAATGCCAGCACTCACCAAAGTTAATCCACGAAAAAATGCCCTCCTCGACCGACTCGCCCAGCAAGACGTACTCGACGAGGGGGTCGCTCGACTCGGCCTCCTGCGAGAGGATGCCGTCCTCGGTGTTGAGCATCAGCTCCTGCGTGTTGCTGGCGTAGGGCTCGGCCGTCTCGGCCAGCGTGATCAGGTCCTGGTCGAAGAAGAGCTGGCCCACGTGCGCGACCTGGCCCGGCGAAATGGTGCCGTTGGCCAGCTCCTTGGCGCCCAGGTGCGACATGACTGCGGAAGGAAGAGCGTGTGTTAGCGGGGAACTTGGGGCGGTTTGCGTGGGTTTGGGGCGCGGCTTACCGTGGATGTGCGTCGTGCGGCCGGTGTAGTGGCTGTGTGCGTTCGTGTGTTAGCTTATAGTTGTCCTATGTGTGTGTGTGGATGGGATGGCCTGGCTCGCGACATACCCAGGGAAGACGCTCTCGAACTGGACGACGCCATCCGCGTCCGTGAACTGGATCCCGCGCAGCATCTTGTTCTGCAAGTTGGAGTCATCGGCCGTGTTGCCATTGCCGTTGGCAGTGACGCCGCCGTACACGCCCGTCGAGTTGCAGTGCCAGAAGTCAAAGGCCACGTCCGCGAGCGGCTCGCATGTCTCGACGTTCATGACCTGGATGTCGACGTACAGCGGGATGCCCGGCTCGTCCGACACGACGTTGGAGCGCACCGACTCGCCCGACACGTAGTACGGCCCCTCAGTCACCTCGGGCGACAGCACGCACGAGGGCATCTGCCCGAAGAACTCGCTCGGGTCCGTCTCGGGCGTGATGCCTGTGAGGTTCGAGTGGTGGTTCTTGTTGAGGACTTCGTCGACATCGCGCGCTTGGAGGAAAGACCCTGAGCGGACCGTGTCAGTGGCTGTCAAGGCGGTTGCTGTATTTCCAGCTGCTTACTCTTCTTGAGACCACGCTTCTCGCGCAGAGCCTCAACCTTGGCGTGGCGGCGAGACACCATCTTCTCGTGGGAGCCGGAACGCTTCATCTTCGCCGCACAGTGAGAGAGAGAAGTCCGCTTGGCCTTGGAGATGAACTCGGAGCGCTTCTGGATCTCCTCGGAGATGTCATGGCCTGGGTGCGCAAGCGTCTCCCCAGCGAAGAGGCAGAGAGCCAGAGAAACGAGGGTCTTGGAGGCTTTCATCTTGACTGTGGGATCAAAGACTGAGAAGGTTCGGTGGTGGTGGAGTAGATCTTGACAAGAGAGATGGCTCCCCTTTTATATCCACTCGCCAACCAGCCTCCAAGGGGAACTTCGAATCTCCTAAAGAGATCCAAAACATTTTGCATCATCCCCGCCTCTCCCACATGAACGAAGTAAGGGTCTTGCCCAGCTGCAGACCCTGCGTCCACGTCAGGATGTGTATACGCTAGATTGTCGCCTGCCGGAGAAGCTGCCCGAGCAAGCGATGAAGCACCAATGCCACGTATAGCAGGAAGTGTATATCCTCCTGCCAAGGGCGGGCACATCGGCAGTCGGCGGAGAATGATGCTTTGGCTGCGGAGGTGTCGAACTCATCCTTGCGGCTAATCCAAGCTTCCTTTCGAGAACCTTGGCGCATCAGGGGAAGATGTTCTGAGACCTGGTGGCGAGGAATCACTGCGTCCAGTAGACCAAGTACTAAGTAACATGTTGGTTACGATTGGCCGTGATAGAGAGAGCGTCGTTGTGGAGATTTCGGAGACCCTTCCCGGAAGAAGCAACTTCAGTGATGCGATTGCTTGGCGGCATCCATTCGGGAAGTCATTCGCGTGGCGGGACCGCCAAGCGAAGTCGTCGTCAGCGTTTTACAATTGGATAGCAGCGCATTGGTCCGATGCAATCGCCCAATCGTACAGCTTCCACCTTGTCAACAAGTTTCGATAAAGCTTGGCCGGAGCTCGGTGTAACATGGGTTTGCGAGGAGCATGGAGCGCGCAGCGACCTAGTTGGGAACGCCTGGAGTGATGGACCTCAGGATTACGATCAGATAAGTTGTTGTGCGAGGTCGCTTGCAACATGGATGCGAATATTCATCGTGGCTTGTTCGCACACGTAACGCTGAACTGGTCTTCTTTTTGCAAGCTGGTCCATTAGGCCTCATCCACTCAAAAAGTGCCCGAGTGACGGTGACACGCTGATCTACCGGGTACGCAGTAGGCGTAGTACAGTATCCGCGCGATATGATGCCTGATCCTAGTCTGGCGCTCGAGTGCCGCAGAGTCGAACAGCTAGTATGGACCTTGTCAGAGAATGACCAGGATCTGTAAACAAGATTAGTTCCAGCGGATATTGGAGCCGAAAGTCCCATGTTGGAAGCATGTAGAGCGCTTCCGCAACCTTACTTGGAGATGGGTAACGAGCTTGCAGCAAAATCCTCCAATACTCGAAGGCGCTTAGATATCAACGGTATCCATAGAGGAAGGTTGTGTCTCTAGCCAGTACCGAGTGCTGCACCAAGCGACGTACGTCGGCCGTTGGGGCCAGCTGTTGAGCGATGAGGTGCTATTGCACAATTCGTTTGGAGGGAGCTTGTAGAGACCTTCCTGTAGGAGAATTGACCCTGAGCGGGCCAAGAAATTGGCGGCAGGACGGTCCAGATAACGCTGCGTAGGTCCCACATATTATTCCGTGTGATATGAGGTGAATGGACCTGAAATCATGGGGGAAAAAGGTCTAGCCGGACCCCGGACTCCTTCTCGCTTGCTGTTGCGATGAGCTAGCCTCAAGTGTTCAGACGGAGTGGCGAGCCTGGCGGCATTGATGAGAAAGCAACCTACGATGGCTCTGATTGGTGATGTTTCAGTGTCTGCTCAGCCGAGCTAATGCATCGGTCCGGTCCCTTGCTCTTCCTCGACGTTGACAGTTCCATTTGCACCGGGGAGCTTCAGTTTGCTTCTTGAGGAACGTCTGAGCTCAATGATGGCCGGATAGCCGTGATATGGCTTGGCAGGCCGGCCGGTAGATAACCATAATTGTACGCCAGTTCCCTTGTGGTCCAATCTATTTCCATGCTCTTCAACTCACCGCACAAAGTTTTCTCTCGGTCCCATATTGGTAGCACAAGCCTCCTCTGTGAGCAAACAGGCCAAAACCCAAAACGTCACCAGCCAAGAAGCCAGCGATTCCAGCCTTTCAGACTTGGCGAAACAGAGGGCGGAACCGTGTTCGTCGAGCACTAACCCAAGCGATTGACGCAAAAGGAGTGGAAACAAGCAGACCTCAGCCGTAAGATATCAGAGGTAGCCGCGAGGTGCATATATACTCAAATACCAAGCCGCGCCAGGGTGCCGCATAAGAACCGAATACGAAGCCGTTGTCATCTGCTGCAGCCAAGCAGCCACGGAACGAGCAGGCATCTCTAGCGTCTTGAATGGACAGTAAGCTGAGTATATTACATAGCAGCGTCCTTAATAGCCTAGCCAATAACTGAGAACAATCGTTGGGATGTGATGTGCCGATCGAGACGACCGCGCTTTCTGCCGACAATCCACCGCTCCAGATCCATGAGATCATTGCCACCAGTCATTGTTGCCTTTAGAGCTTCTACCTACACTTCTACACATCTCCACGCAATAATCTGATATAACTCTTCTGCGCGCCTTGAAGCCGCACCTCCGCCTCCTGCCTCGCCCCAGAATCTCACAGCCCACGCATCCGTCCCTTCCAACACCCACCACCATGGCCGACCGGGCCTCAACGCCACCACCGCAACCCTCCGCCCCCGCGCCCTTAACCCCCGAACAAATCCGCCAACTCGAAACCAGCCGCCTAAAAGCCAAAGCCCTGCGCGCACGCAGCGACGCCGCCCTTGCCGCCACCGCCACCGCGCCCACAACGACACCCAGCGGCTTCAGCCTGGGCCAAAAGCGGCCGTACAGCGCCATCAGCACGCGAGCAACCGAGAGCAGCCGGCGCGATGGCAGCAACGGCGCGACAAACTCCGCAGCGGCGGCAGCGGCGACGAGGGCGGGGAAAGACGACGCTATGATACGGCCGGCCAAGAAGTTCGAGAAGAGCGCGTACATCGAGTACGACTTCAGCAAGATGACGGACACGAAAGGCGGCTTCATGACGGCCGAAGACGACCCGCACAACCGGGCGCTGCACGCGACGGGGGCGGGCAGCAACGACGGCGGGGCAGCGCCCAAGCCAGCGCACATGACGCAGCGGGAATGGGAGCGGCACCAGCTGCTGCAGAAGCTGCGCGCGCAAAAAACCGGCCCCTTCGAGCCGGGCATCAGCGTTCTCCGCAGCGGCGACGGCAGCACCCCCAAGTGCGTCGAGTGCGCCAGCCCGGAGATCGACTGGGCGTGGGCGGACGTGTTCAGCATGCGCGTGTGCCACGCGTGCAAGGAGTCGCTGCCCGAGAAATACAGCCTGCTGACCAAGACCGAGGCGCGCGAGGACTACCTGCTCACGGACTCGGAGCTGCGTGACGCGTCACTCCTGCCGCGCCTCGAGCGCCCCAACCCGCACAAAGCATCTTTCCACAGCATGCAGCTGTTCCTGCGCTGCCAGGTCGAGGAATACGCTTTCTCGGCGCGCAAATGGGGCAGCGCCGAGGCGCTGGATGAGGAGTTTGAGCGGCGGCAGGTGCAGCGCAAGGAGCGGAAGGAGAAGAAGTTTAATGCCAAGTTGGCGGAGTTGAAGAAGCGCACGCGCGTCGAGGCGCATCGGAGGAACCGCGATGCCCTCAAGCGCGGTGATGCCACGGAGGCGCATTTCGGGCAGGCGATTGCGAGTCGTGGCGACAGGCATGAGCATGAGTGGGGCCGTGCCGTTGAGGACCCGGCTACGGGCGCGGTTAAGAAAAGCTGTGTTGAGTGCGGCATGGAGGTTGAGGAGCTGGAGTTCTGACCTGCTGTGCTGAGAGAGTTGTGTTATGAACGAGTGTACTCCCAAAAGAAAGAAAGGAAGGAAGAGAGTTAGAGGCATGTTTTCTGCATCATCATCATCATCATCATCATCATCATCATCATCATCATCATCATCATCAAGGCCGAAGACACTTGAACGTTCTTCCATTATATATACCCCAGATAGATACCCCAAATTACACAGCCAGCCAACTGCATCCATCCATTCATCCAACCATCCATCCATCCATCCAACACACAAACATCTCTACCCAAACCCAACCCAAGCCTCAGCCCCAGCCCCACCAAACCAAGCCAAGCCACCAATGCCGCCGCACTCGCTCGCTAGTATAAAAGACAGCACAGCCGCTCGTCTCATGCTCGCTGCTAATCAATCAGAATAACGCCAGTGGGGGTATGGTCCCATGCCCAAGCAAGCAAAAACAAAATAAACAATAAAAAACAAGAAGATGATGAAAAATAGAAACGCACGTCTCTGCTGCCGTGAATGCTGCTGCGTAGGTAGGTATGTATGTGCCAGCGAACGAGGAAGCGTAAGAGTAGGAATAGAGGAGAGAGGGCGGAAATATGGAACGTGTGGAAACGTGTGTATGTGCGATATGCGAAGTGAACCTTCCTTGGACCGTTGGCGCCTGCGGCCTGTACCTCTTTGCCGGGATGGCCTTTCTTTGCCCGCGGTTGCGGAGGCCCGCTATCGGCTAGATTGGCGCGAGATCGAGAGGAGACGTTACGACAGAGCTGGTTTCGTTTCCGGGCCGTTTTGCTCGCTCTAGTGACTACGTGCCACCCTCCACGAGCGCCAGAATGGCTTCGGTCAAGCCCTCCGTGTCGACCTCTGCGCTGGTGCGAGACAGCAGCTTGATGCAGTTGGCCACCTCCCACGTCATGCAGGGCTGCGTATTGCCAGTGATGTTCTCGCGATGGTGCGCTAGGTACGCGGCAGTGATGGCGACGCGGAAGATCTCCATGTCGAACACCCAGAGGCGCGGGAACACAAGCGGGATATAGGTGCCTTTGTGCTTGATGGAAAAGGGCTGCCGCAGCAAATACGCGTAGTCGTGCACCAGGCGCTGCACGATGCCGCGGCCTTCGGCCACGAGATCGAGGCTCAGCAGTTGGCGCTGCGAGGGCGATTTGCCCGATGTTGACGTTGCTGTCGATGCTGGTGTTGAGGCCGGCGTCGGCGAGCGCTGGATCAGCAGGCAGAAGGCTAGATGCAGCGTCTCGTCGCGCCATTTGCGTCCTGAGCTGAGAAGCCATTCCTTGCGGCTTTCTTCGTTCTCGTCCACTGCGTCCTGCCAGTCCTCGTACCATGCGTCTGCCTGCCGCCGGATGGTATCGTACCATTCGACAGTGCCGAGTTTCGGTGTTCCTGGTAGTGGCCCCATCACACTGGGCCCTTGCTGGCCGGCCAGAAACGCCGAGTGTATTCTCTGTCGTATTTCCAGTATGGATGCGTGCATAGCGGCTACGGTTCTGTCTTCGGGTCGGTGGCTGGGTTCATCTGCTTCTGCGAAATCGAGGAAATCTATCGGCCTTCCGTACGCCATACCGACGATACGCTCTAGAGAGACAAAGCTGCAGTAAAGTAGGTTTGGTTGGGGTTTGTGACGGGCTTGTTCGCGGACCAGAAAGCCGTCTGGACTATTGCTCCTGCGGAGTTGGGCGCGAGCATTCTGAATGTTTCTCCACAGTCTCTCCGCGAAACCTAACAACTGCCAGACGTTGCCCTTCAGTGGTGCCATCAAAACATAACATACCAATAGCAATACGATTTGCAGTTTTGCCATTGCGTGCGCCTCCTCATTTTCGAACACCGACGGCGAAACATAATCTAAAAGATGTGTCGAGTCGTTTAGAACAATCCTCAAATTGGCAGCGGCTGCCTCAAACATGGCGTCGGAGAGTTGCAAATAGGCCTGCGACTGTGCCGGGCTGCCTTCAGTGGCAGCACTTCGGAAGAGACATCTTGCAGCCTGGGCAAGAACAAGCTGGGCGCGAGTGCAAGCACGTAGGTTTTTGCGGGCTGGTGATTTTGAATAGAGATGCTGCAGGTCCTCGTCTCCCAGTTTGCGGCCTACGATTGGCATGATGGTCTCGACTGAGTTGTAGTAGAATTCCCAGAGGAAACTAGCAGTCTCGAAGGGAGGGAGGCGCGGCTCATGCGAGGGCTGGGCTTCATTGACGGTCAAGGGTATGTCAACATTGAAATTGGTGCCGTGGCGCAGAGGGCGGGTGAGCTCGACATTGAGCAGGTTGGTGATGAGCCGCAGGTGGGCAAAGGGGCTGGACGGACCCCACTCTTCGTAGACGTCGTCTTCATGGGCGTCGAGGCGCTTCGAGGCGGCGGGCGGCGCAAGAGTGGGTTTGGAGTGGTTGCGGGCATCGGTGACGTGTGGCCCAAAGACGCGGGTCCGGGCCGCAGCCGCGGCGGCAGGGCTGGCTTCGAGGGCTTCCAGATGGCGCAGTCTCTCATGCAGGGCCTGGAGATAGCTGTGGCGAAGGTCAATCCTAGCCACACACAATCCTCATGGTGATCGAGAAGCGCACCAACCTCCGGGGAAACCTGGCATCTAGCACATGGTCGTACAGTTCGCATTCGGCGCCAATGGCAGCGCAAGCCTGGCAGCTTGGCAGGAGGCGGTCGCATCCCACCCGTCTCTCGCGACAGCGGATGCACGAGGCGAGCGAGTTGAGGGCGGCCTCGACGGCGTCAGAGGTGAAATCCATGGTCATGGCAGTCGCCGTTCGCCGACAGGGGGAACAGCACGGGCGCAACAACACTCATCCGTCGCGGGTTGGGTGGGTTTTTTCGCTCCTATCCCGATGCCCGTTGGACGGCAGGAGGTGGAGAGGATTCGCCGGGGCCGAGTATCGCCGAGCTCGTGCTGATGTGTGCCATGCCCGGCCATCTCTGCTGGCGCCTCAGGCCTCAGCGCCCGTATCTCAACATCTCAAAGTCGTCGTCGTCGTCCATGACTCTCCGTCTTGCTTTCCCCATGGGGTATCCGGGTACACTAAACTCTACCCCCTCAATAGCCTTGCCTTGACGACCGAGGCATGTCTGTTGAGTAATCACCGCCCCGCCGCTGATTCGCCGGTAGCGCGAGGCTTGAAGCAACAAAGTCGACGCTGGCGGCGTTTTTATATTCCCACGTTCCACGACAGCCGACAGCTGGTTCCACGACATGAGAAGTCATATATGTACTGCCCCAGTTCACCCCCCTTTGCGGAAGCCGCCCGCCGACTTCCGCGCACAACCACCCAGCACAGCCCATTCGCTCAAGTCCGCCCTCACCACCGCGGGTTTACGCGATCCCGACTCCCGGGTGACCATCACTCGCCGGTAACGGTTTCAGGGACCATGCCCCACAGCGGGCACCTACAGGCGCGTGGCGCGCCGGCCTGGCGATCTGCCAAAACCCGGGCGTCTGCATATGCCGTGGTCTGAGTGAACCAGAGAATAATATAATTGCTTCCCCGCCGTCCTCAACCTCTTTCTCTCTCTTCCATGATCGTCAACCGGGCATACGTACCATCATTCATGATACTAAGTAAGTTAATCTCGATTTAGACTTAGCACTCTCTGCCTTGTACGGAGAAGGATTGGCGGCTTTGTACTAGAGAGACAATGTCTACGCTTGGGCCCATCTTCAGGCACTATTGTCTCCGTTTGTACAATGTCGCATGCGGCGCTTGTCGACTCGGTAGGGTGCGGAGATTGCAAGAAAAGGGGAGCTTCTGATAGAGACTACCTATTGACCGTGAGATAAAGATGGGACTAGCTCATCTTGGCAAGGCTTTGTGTCAAGTACGAGCGAAAGCGCTAATGGTGTTTGAAGGCCCCGAAATGGGATGCAGTAATGAGCCAGACGCCGCTATACAGGGCTCGACACGCGCGAATTGGCGCGACAACCGTCGCAGACATGACATCTGGTGAGGGCTGCCGGACGGAAATGTTTGCGGAAAATGGCTGCATCGCCGAGTCGTGAGGTTGTGGACTTTGGGGGCCAGTGGTGGGGTCCAAGTTCACAAGCCATGCGGAAAGCGTTCAGGCAGGCGACTTAGCGCTGCCAGCTCTCCACCACGACGCGACTCGTTCCTCGCGACCTAAACCCTTCACCAACATGTCCAATGTTAGACTCGAGCATGCCGTTTCATGCGCCAGTTGAGACGACAACGCGATGCATCCTCCTGCCTCCGCAAGCCCTGACTCGAGTGCGTCCATCGAGGCGCAGCGAGCTCGAAAACGGCCCAAGATTCGAAGGACCACTTTCGCCTGCGCGCGCTGCCACAGGCGTAAGATTAAATGCGATGGAATGAAGCCGGCATGCTCCAACTGCGTCCAGGCCAAGCAACCGTGCAACGGCATCCTCGACGGCGAATCCAAGACGGTCATCCCACGCAGCATAGCCCAATACCTACAAGAGAAGATCGCGGAGAAGGAGGCGTACTTGCAGAAGCTGGGTCTCGATACCGAGAGCGACCCTTCCGCTCCTACCGCCACATTCGGTGGTGCTCTTGACGCTCCCAGTGGAAGCCGTGTACATGCCCTTTCCCCTGATGCGCGCGACTCGCACTCGATAGGGCCGCCGGAGGAGCGCCCGAGAACACGGCACCTGCAGAGATGGGACCTGGCCACAGAGGCTTCGCGGAGCTTCAGCAAAGCGCTCGGTCGGTCATTGCTTTCGTCTGAGGTCAAGTTCCCGACCGGCACCTTCCTGTTTGCTTCATCTCACCTTCCGTCGGCCACTCCTCTACCTGTAGATGCCGAGGTCAAAGAGGAATATTCCAAGCCGAGAGGAGGAGCCACCGCTCTGGACCAAATCCCGAAGGCCGTTGCAGAGCGTCTCGTTACAAATTACACTGAGAAGATCGCGCCGTTGTATCCGTTCATGGACCGTCAGGACCTCTGGTTGCGCTTCACCCGGGTTCAGAATGCTCAACAGCCTGGCGCGACTCCGTCTTCCACATTCGACATATTCATTGTTTCAATGATGTTGGCCATTAGCATCATGACGTCCAAGTTCAACGACTCCTCGAAAGTTGCCTCTACTAGTGAAAGGCTCTTTCAATGCGCTCTCCAACATGCCGAGACGCTTTACAACACATCTTTCGAAGCACTCCAAGGCACATTGATATTGATTCAGTATTCATATCTCATGCCCCGAGCTGCCAGCTTGTGGGATATTGTCGGTTTAGCTGCAAGAATGGCATTGGAGCTCGGTTTGCATCGCGATCCCGACGAACTTCCAGGTAACCCTTTTACAGAAGTCGAAAGGGAACGACGAAGAACTGTCTTTTGGGTCTTCTACGCCTATGATCGGTCGATATGCGCCACGAGCCATCGCCGACTTGGTGTGTCCGACGAATCCATATCCACCAAATTTCCAACCGGAATGGACGACGAGTATTTCATCGAAAATGTCCGCTTTCGACGTATTCAATCCGAACTATGGACGGTAAACTACTTGCGCCGGGGCATGCCTCTGCTGCCCGACGAAAACAGCTACGCCGCATGGGTACAGGACATTGAGAACAGGATGATAACGTGGCGGAACGAAGCATGCGCCAAAAAGCCGGCGCGTCGAGAATGGTGCGATATAGCTGTCTGGCACGGTTTCGTCTTTCTCCACCGGCCGTGTCCGCGTAATCCCCATCCGTCCATGGAGTCATTGATCAAGTGTTTTGAAAACGCCACGCAAGTAGCAGCCGGCTACTGGGAGAACGCACACAGCGGCTTCCTCAAGTACAGCTGGCACGCCGTCCACCATGGCTTCGAGGCGGCCATCGCCATGTTGTACACGATCAGACACTGCAAAGAGCAACTCAAAGAGCGCTACGGCACGCGCAAGATCCTCGAGACAGTGCACCTGTTCAGCTCGCTCTTCGTGCTGATGAGCGAGCGCTGGGCACAAGCACACGCAAGCCTAGAGTCCTACGAACGGTGCAAGAGCGTCGTAATGCGGGAGCTCACACGGCCAGGCCCGGCCCAACCACCAACCGAGAACGACGAGCTCGACCGACTGATCCTGCCGCAGCAAGCCCAAGTCCGGCGCTGGGACAGCAGCGAAGGCGCAACTCCGCCGTCGGTGGGCCCGCCGTCCACCGCCCCCTCCTGGGGCAACACGCCGCAGTCGCAGCGCTTCCACGCGCCGTACCCCGGGCCCCCAGAAGCGCCCCTCATCAACGAGCCGAACCTCAGCCGCCCCCTCGCCGTCCTGCACAGCTCGCCGTCGCCGTACTCGCGGCCGCCAGCGCCAGCCGGGGGCGTGACGCCGCAGCCACCGCCCCCGCACGCGCATCCGCATCCTCCGCCCCCGCCGCCCCAGCAGCACCAGCAACAGCAGCACCAGCAACAGCAGCACCAGCAACAGCAGCACCAGCACCAGCACCAATCCCACCCCCACCCCATCCCCTCCTGGCGGCTGCCCCCGCATTCCGCCCCGCCCCAACACGTCTCCTTCTCCGCGGGCGGCGGGCCCGAGTTCCCCCCCGTCTTCGAGAACTACGACATGTGGAACGGGCCAGGCCACGGGGGCGCGCCGGTCGACTGGGACGAGATGGTCGGGCAGCCGGACGCGAGCGGCGTCGATGGCATGATTCTGTGGTCGATGTGAGGGGTTGGGTTGATTTTTTGTTTGATGGATACTTTGGCTCGACGCAATGTTTGTGGTCTGTGGAAAGCGTGTGCATGGCGGTTGGCAGGTTGCAGGTTGGCAGGATATGGTTCCTGTTGTCTCGATCGGTCATTCCTGCGCCGACACCCGGAGACAGCAGGCCAGGCATCCAGGACCTTTAGGCCGCGCAGCGTCCCTCCGGAGCAGTTCCCGCGTCAGCATCCAACACCGGATATCACGATGCACAGGCAGGGACCATCCACAAACGGACGACAGACACGGGAAAAAACTATCTCAATATCTACATACAGCCCGCAACTCAGCGCACGCACCTCTCAGCCAACCCAAACAGCGAAACGCGAAACGAAACGAAACGAAGATTTTTTGACGCGGCTCCGTCGGCCTACAGAACCGGTCGAAGAAACCAAACCCCTCCCTCCACGCCTGTGTCCCATCAAACGCCATCCATGCTCACAAGGAAGAACTAGAAGCTGCAAAAGGATTTTTTCACGGCCGTCGTCGCTGAGCTTGGAGTTTTCTTTGCTCCCGCCGTGTGTAGGCGGAGGGCGCTTTACGACTAGCGCCTCCGGATGAAGCAGTACGAGCGCGGCAGCTCAACTCATTCATGCCCTAGTTCTGGGCGATGAAGGCGGCGGCGCTAGAATGCGCTTCACGGTGCTACGCCGGCAGCGTGCGCCCCATGCCTGGCGACTCCCTACGGCTCAAAACGTCTAAGACATTATAGATTTACAGACATGACAGCCTTTGGGGCGCCGGCCTACGAGGACATCTTCCTGCGCTTTTGCGACGGCTGGCTACCATACGGCCTCCGCTTCTGGGATTTGTCCTTGCTCATGCTGGAGCCGAGCTGGAGATCGATACGGGGAGGGACGGTGAAGCCGAAGCCCTTAGCGACCTTGACGAGGTCGAGCTTGTTGATGTCGAAGACGGAGCGCAGGCTGTGGGCGGCGTAGGCGGCAATGTAGCTCTTGTAGCCGTTCTTGGCCGCCTGGTGCAGGTAGTAGTTGCTGGAGACGAGCTTCTCGAGCTGCGACTGGATGTTCAGCAGCTTGGGCATGTTGTACTCGGTCAGCGGGATGCGGGCGTCGACCAGGTGCTTGACGAAGCCGACTTCGGACGGCTGCAGGATGATCAGCGAGCGGCCGGTTGCGTCGGCGCCGCGGGCCGTGCGGCCGACGCGGTGGATGTACTCGCGCGGGTGGTCGGGCGGGTCGAACTGGATCACCCAGTCCACGGCGGGGATCTGGCGGGGCGGGTTAGTGTTTTGTGTCATTTTAGGCTTGGGACGTCTCTCTCGCGCGTCTTGCTTCTTCTTAACTTACATCGAGACCGCGCGCCGCGACGTCGGTGCAGAACAGCGCGCCGTGCTTTGCGTTGACGAACTCGTAGAAGGTGTTTGTTCGCTTTTGCTGCTTGTGTTGGCCGTGCAGACCGAGGACGGGGATGTCGATGTAGTTGAGCAGCTCCGTGAAGTACTGGACGACGTTGCAGCTGGAGCAGAAGACAATGATCTTCTTCTTCTGCACGTTCTTCTTCAGGAACGCGAAGAGCAGCAAGAACCGCTTGTCGGCCTCGCACAGAATGTATCCCTGGTCCACCAGCCCCTGGGCAGTGCTGTGCTCCGCGTAGTGGTCGGCGCTGATGTACATGGGCGAGGGCCTGAGAGACAGGCGCGCGAGGTCCTTGACTTCGGTCGACTGGGTGGCGGAGAAAAGAAGGGTCTGGCGGTCGGAGGGGAGAATGGAGATGATGGCTCTGAGTTCGTCCTCGAAACCCGTCTCGAGCAGGCGGTCCGTCTCGTCGATGATCAAGGTCTTGAGGTTGCGGAAGACGAAGCCCTTGGTATCGCGCAAGTGGTCGAGCAGGCGGCCGGGGGTGGCCACAATGAGGTTGATGCCCTTCTCGAGCTTCTGCGACTCAGCCGACTTGTTCGCGCCGCCCATGACAATGCCGTACGTCTGCGTGTGCTGGGACATGAGCTCCTTCGCGACGCCGAAAATCTGCAGGGCCAGCTCACGCGTCGGCGTGATGACCACGACGCCGGTCCCGTTGCGCGGCTTAAACTTGAGGTTGCGCAGCATTTCGACGGCGGGGATGAGGAACGCCAGCGTCTTGCCGGAGCCCGTCTTCGCGGCGCCCAGAATGTCCTTGCCCGCCAGCGCTGGCGGAATGCCCTTCTTCTGGATCTCGGTGGGTTCCTTATCGCCCAGGCCCATGGCCTCGATGCCCGCGAGCGTTTTCGCGTCCAGCCCGAAGTCGGCGAACGTCTTGGCGTTGTCGGCTCCCACGGCTGGCAGGCTGGTGCCTTCTTGAAGCTCCTGTTCGGGATCCATCGTCGGCGGCGTGTGGTGGTGGTTTGCGCGGGCGCTGCTGAGTTTCTTCTGCGCTGCTGGGTACTATCTTTCTTGCTCGTTCGGAATTATTTTCTGAGCGGATTGTCTTCGGCCCGATTGTCGCTGCACGTGAAAGGGTCCAGCCCGTCTGTCACCCAGTTGTCCGTCGGCGCCGCACACCATCGCGCGCACCCAGTCCAAACCCCGTTCTTGGTGCCCACGCTCTGCACCCCGTTGTAACTACGGCAGCGAGACGTGTGGTGCTGCCCAATCTGCGGTCCTGGTGGAGGTGTGAATGGTGGGTTGGTTGGTTAGGTGGTTAGTGAGGGGAGAGGGCGTGCCTTGTCTGGTGCGCCAGTGCAGGCGGGGATGGTGGTGGGTGGGGAGATGGTAGTGGCAGAGTGTGCGTTGCTGTAATGTGTACATGTCTGGGAAGAGAAGGTGGTGGTGATGGTAGTCGGCGCTCGCCGATATCAGATATGCGCTCGCTGGCTGTCACTACTCCGTAGCACTTCATATATACGATCAAAACCTGTGAAGCAATTGAGCTTAATGACTAGGTAAGTACATACATACGCACACTACAATTGCCTTTCTTCAATTGCATTCACGATTGCCCTGCTGCGCCGCGGCTGGCGTTCTGCATCAGCCGGCCGACCATCCGTTGGGTACGTCCAGGGCGCTGGTTCCGGCACAGCACAGCACAGGCGAACGCCGCAGCGCAGCGCCGCAGCCCTGCTCTGCGATGTACCTGCAATCACTAGCAATACGTACGGAGTACAAATTTACCACGCTCGTTCCCTGCGCCGCGATAAAGTGCCGCACGGCTATCCGCGGCGCCGGCATCTGATCGCCGATATGCTTGCTTACATGCTTCCGAGGCGGCACTGCGCGATAGGGTGCAGGGGGTGGAGGGATGCGCCGATTGGGCGGCGGTGAAGGTGTTGATTGGGCGGAGATGAGGGTGCTGCTTGGGTGAGTTTGTGGCATGTGGTGGTGGAGCTGGGGAGGGCGGAGCGGAATGATGATGGGGGAGGAGAGGGCGCTGAGTTTGGCCGGAGTGCGATCCGACTGCTCTGAGTGGTCTAAATTTTTGTAGGTATGGTTATTGAAGAGGTGATAGATTTGGTTGATGCTTTGGTGTCATAACCAAATTGTGGTATACATTGAATACAGTAGATGGAATGGTTTGCAATGCTCGCTACTCCTACAATTTGCAAGTAGATATGAAATTTTTTTAGTTTTCTTTGCAATGTGAGATACGGGCTCAAGAGAGGATGACTACGTGAATATGTGATATGTGTTATGAGCATAGTTGCTAGCTGGGAGCGTCGGATGGACGAGTCTAAAAGAGACAACAATGGAGTATTATGTACGGAGATAAGAATGGCTCCTAGCATTGAATTAAACAGGAAAAGCTTTTGGGTCTTGCCTTCAAGACTGATACGGAGCGGCGATGCTTTAGCTAGATATTGATATATAGCCGTTAGCCGTGCAGCGATGAACTCGGCTCGGTCTACAGCGAGCATTAGAAATCAGAGGAATTTTGGCCCATGAAAGCCCGCCCGAGTCCGTGTTGCCACGATGGCTTCAACTGTGGGGATAGGCCCTTCTGGATCACCACCAATAGAATGGAGATGATGGAGCTGACGGTGATTGTGGCTATAGCTCTGTGGTGCCTGAGGCAGCAGCGGAAGCCGCACCGCGCCCTTTCACGGTGCTGCTGACGATGATGACAGGTGCCAACTTCCGTCGACCGTTGACAAGCGCATCAAGACGTGTCTAACACTCTAACCCGCGACATCCGGAGGCCGTGGTGAGGAACCGGAGCTGTGGAAAGGTCGCGGCGAGCTTTGGCCGAGGTCTAGCTAGCTAGCGCCCATCTCCATCGTGAATGCGCGCACGGACTCGAAGGTTCTCGTCGCCCTTCTTGAAGTTTTCCGTCGAAGCAATAAACTCTCCATCTCCCCCCATCTCCATCCCACTCGCCTCTTCCGTTTCTGATTTGGTCGGAGTCTTGGAGCATCAGGCTTGGGCGTCTTCAACTCTTCAATTCCGCTCACACCACCAATACCCTCAACATGCAGCGCATGCTTGCTTCCCGCGTGCGGGCTTCCGCCGCCTCTTCTCTGAGCTCCAAGAGCTTCAACCTGACCGCCAGGAGGTTCGCGCACAAGGTACGAGGCATTGGTGACTCTTTCGTTCGAGCTCGCTCGCGACGACAAAGACAATGCGCTGACGCGTTGATGAATAGGACCTCAAGTTCGGCGTTGAGGGCCGCGCTGCTCTTCTCGCCGGTGTCGAGACTCTCGCCCGCGCTGTTGCCACCACTCTCGGTCCCAAGGGCAGGAATGTCCTCATTGACCAGAGCTACGGCTCCCCCAAGATCACCAAGGGTATGGAACTCCGCATCCACCATAGGCATTGATTGAGTTCTGACACATGCGCAGACGGTGTGACTGTTGCGAAGAGCATTGCGCTCAAGGACAGGTTCGAGAACCTCGGTGCCCGTCTCATCCAGGATGTCGCCTCCAAGACCAACGAGGTTGCTGGTGACGGTACCACCACCGCCACCGTCCTTGCTCGTGCCATCTTCTCCGAGACTGTCAAGAACGTTGCCGCTGGCTGCAACCCCATGGACCTGAGGAGGGGTACCCAGGCTGCCGTTGAGGCCGTCGTCGAGTACCTGCGCCAGAACAAGAGGGACATCACCACCTCGGCCGAGATCTCCCAGGTTGCTACCATTTCCGCCAACGGCGACACCCACATTGGTGAGCTCCTCTCCAGCGCCATGGAGAAGGTCGGCAAGGAGGGCGTCATCACCGTCAAGGAGGGCAAGACCATTGAGGACGAGCTTGAGGTCACCGAGGGTATGAAGTTCGACCGTGGCTTCATCTCCCCCTACTTCATCACCGACACCAAGTCCCAGAAGGTCGAGTTCGAGAAGCCTCTGATCCTCCTTTCCGAGAAGAAGATTTCCGCTGTCCAGGACATCGTCCCCGCCCTTGAGGCTTCCCAGCAGCTCCGCCGCCCTCTGGTCATCATTGCCGAGGACATTGACGGCGAGGCTCTGGCCGTCTGCATCCTGAACAAGCTCCGCGGCCAGCTCCAGGTTGCCGCCGTCAAGGCTCCCGGCTTCGGTGACAACCGCAAGTCCATCCTTGGCGATCTCGCTGTCCTTACCAACGGTACCGTCTTCACCGATGAGCTTGACATCAAGCTCGAGAAGGCTACCCCTGACATGCTCGGCTCCACCGGCTCCATCACCATCACCAAGGAGGACACCGTCATCCTCAACGGTGAGGGCACCAAGGACGCCATCACTCAGCGTGCTGAGCAGATCCGTGGCGTCATGAACGACCCCACTACCTCCGACTACGAGAAGGAGAAGCTCCAGGAGCGTCTCGCCAAGCTCTCTGGCGGTGTCGCGGTCATCAAGGTCGGCGGCTCCTCTGAGGTCGAGGTCGGTGAAAAGAAGGACCGCATCGTCGATGCTCTGAACGCCACCCGCGCTGCCGTTGAGGAGGGTATCCTCCCCGGTGGTGGCACTGCTCTCCTCAAGGCTGCTGCCAACGCCCTCGGCAACGTCAAGGCTGCCAACTTCGACCAGCAGCTGGGCATCAGCATTGTCAAGAGCGCCATCACCAAGCCCACCCGCTCGATCGTCGAGAACGCCGGTGCTGAGGGCAGCGTTGTCGTCGGCAAGCTGATGGACGAGTATGGCTCTGACTTCAACAAGGGCTTCGACAGCGCCAAGGGCGAGTACGTCGACATGATCAAGGCCGGTATCCTCGACCCCTTCAAGGTTACCAGGACCGCCCTTGTTGACGCTTCGGGCGTCGCTTCGCTCCTCGGCACGACCGAGGTCGCCATCGTGGACGCACCCGAGGAGAAGGCTGCTGCTCCCATGGGCGGCATGCCCGGCGGTATGGGTGGTATGGGCGGCATGGGCGGCGGCATGTTCTAAGCTGCTGGGCCGCGTTGAGAAGACGATCAAAAGCAATCCTCCCCTGCTCCCTCCCTCCTCTATACCCGCCATTGCTTATTACTTGGGCCTCTTGAAGCCGTGTTTTTACTAGCCACCCGTGCTACCTCTCCACTCCTGGGGTGGATTTCTTGTTTATTGGGCATTGCGAGCGAGGATCTGCCGGAAAAACCAAAAAGCTGTATGATATTGTAGCTATGTATGTAGTAACTACGTAGCGAGACGACGCACAAAAAAGGAAAAAAGGAAAGAAGACGCTTGGTGTGTAGACAGTGAGAGTGACAGGTGTAGTGTTTTGTGACATGGAGACCCATGCTGCGCCGTGCCAGGTATCCGTGATGTCATTTGGCAACAGGGGCAGCTGGTGGCAGTGTGTGAAGGTGGAAATTGGGCGATCAGCAATCAGCAATAATAATCTCGGCGAGATGGGCGGTCGAGGGGGAGGTTTTTCGAGAGGGCGCGCGGGCAGTGCGATGGCGTGTCAATTCTTCATGGCTCCGGGGGCGGAACGACGCACTGTTTACCCCCCGGCTGCGCCTTGGCTCAAGCGGTCAATGTGGGCACCTCTCGCTGCCCCTCAGCACCACCAACTTCCTGCACGCAACAACACCTCACCCTTTACCCTCTCCACCCGCCGCCCCATCCACGCCCGGCTCCTGCAGCGCATTCGCAGCAGTTTCTCACTCGCAGTAAGTCGCTTGCATCGTGGCAACCTGGCCCCGCGCCTTCCTTCTCCCGCGACCGGTTGCTGCCTTTGACGCGCTGACGACGCTGACGGTTTTGCCTCGACTGATAGCATACCAACGCCCTCGACCTCGAGCCCTATCCGCTCCCAACTACCCCCCCACATCATTCACAATGGTAAGTCGCCATCTCCGCCCGTCTGCTGCTGCCCGCGTGCTCACTCGACTCTCTCCACGCAGGCTTCTTCCGGGTGCGTCCCTCTCCCCTGCCGCCTCGTCGACTCGGATGCGAGGCGACGGCCATCGCAGGCGCGCCCCGCACCTGGCAGCCAGCTAACGACGGTCACAGTGTCTCGGTCTCCCCGGAGTGCATCTCTGTTTTCAACGAGCTTAAGCTGGGCAAGGACCTGAAGTGGATCGTGTACATGATCGCAGACAACGGCAAGGAGATTGTTGTGGAGCACACCGAGAAGAAGTCGGACGCGAGCCAGGAGGAGCAGTGGAACGCGTTCCGCGAGTTCCTCGTCAACTCCAAGACCAAGAACAAGGCCGGCAAGGAGGGCCCCGGCGCGAGATACGCCATCTACGACGTCGAATACGACGCCCCCGGCGGCTCGTACGGCGAGGGCACCAGGTACGCTCGGCCTCGTCCTCCCCCGCCCTTCGACGCAATTGATGCCCATGCTAACCATGCCGACTACAGGAACAAGATCGCCTTCCTCTCCTGGATCCCTGACAACCTTGCTCCCTGGGTGAGTCTCGGCCCCCAATAATCCTTACCCCTCCCCCGCCCCACCCCACTCTCGCCGCCGCGATCCTGCTTTTTGCTAACCATGGTCGCACCACCAACAGCCCAAGATGGTCTACTCGTCGTCCAAGGACGCCATCAAGCGCTCGCTGAACGGCGTCGCCACCGACATCCAGGCCAACGACGAGTCGGACATCGAGTTCGAGTCCATCATCTCCAACATCCAGAAGGGCCGTTTCTAAGCGGGGCAAGAGGCCGGGAACCAAGCACCTCCACCCCTTCATCTTCATCTTCTTCTGCTTCTTCTTCTTCTGGATGATGTGAGAGAATGAGAGAGAGAGAGAGTTGAGAGAGAGGCTAGGCTCGCTCCACGACCCCGACTAAAGCGGACGTTGGAAATCGCCGTCCTGCCGACGCGGTTGAGCAGATTTTTTAGTTTTTTTTCTGCGGCTGGGCGGGGCAGGCGGCGTCATGGCTGCCCGTGGTTTTTTCAGGCGCGCGTGTCGATGTTTCTTCTTAGTGATGCTGCTACTGCTGCTGCTGCCTGAAGAACCATGCTTGGGACGATAGAATAGGAAAATGCTTCACTTCCAGCAGATTTTGCGCGCAGTAAGGTTTTTTGGTGTGTGTAGTGCTTGATGCTTGGTGCTTGAATGTTGCTTTCGTTGTGAAGATGCATTGCATTACATTATGATTTTTTTTCTCGCATGCATGTATATGTGACGCATGATGTTTTTAACGCGTTTTCGCCCAGGTTGTTGATCAGTCTAGTCGTCTGTCTGCTTGTTTGTTTGTCTGTCTGTACGCTCCCCTCCCATATTGTGTTAACTATGGCAGAAAGAAAGAAGAAGAAGAAGAAGAAGCCAACAAGAATCAGCGTCGTCATCGTCGTCATCGTCATCAAGCACACCGTCTCAACTCTTCCTCGACCATTCATTCACACGTGCTCGATCGAGCGTGAGGTGCCTAATGCAACAACACGCTCACCCTCCCTATTTTCGCGTTTTCGCATCCCCATCCCCATCAAACATCAAACAACACCCAACTCACCCAACCATATCCGCACTAGCAGCTCCACCTTCACCCTTCGACCCTTCCGCCTCCCACGCCCCCCGAAACAGCTCCGCCAGCCGCGCCCCCTCGGCCTCGTCCCGCACCCGCTGCACCAGGAACGCGCGCACATCGGCCCAGAATTCGGCCGTCGTGGGCACGGCTGCCCCAGTCGGTGCGGCCGTCGTTGAGCTGCTCACGGGCTCTTCTCCGATCTGCCCCGCTGCGGGTGGGATCCCGGCCGCTGCTGCTGCTGCGCTGGGGATGTCGGCTGGTGGCGGAGAGGAGGCGGCTGGAGTGCCTGGAGTGCTTGCACCGCTCACTGCGTTCGCCCCGCTCGCCCCTCCCCCAATAACCATAACCTGGAACTCCAACGCGACCTTATCAGCACTACTCGCATCAACGCCCGCGCCCCCCTCCAGCAGCACGTCGCGCAGCGACTTGGAGTCCGGGACGGGCTTGCGGGCGCGCAGCAGCTTGACGCGGGCGGGCGAGGCCAGGCCCGTCTGCGTCGCGTAGTGCGTCTTTAGGTCGTGGATGCTGGTGCTGAGGGGCGCGGTGGGGAGCGTGATGGCTGGTGTGGCGGCGCTGGGGCGCGTCGGCTTCAGCGTTATGGAGAGCGTTGCTGGGAGGGTCGTTGGGGGTGGGTTGGGGGCTGTGCTGCTGGCGTCTGCGGTGCTGCTACTGGTGTTGGTGGGAGTGGTTTTGCGCTTTTTGGGGTTGGCGGCTTTGGGCAGGATCGTCTGTTGGTGGGAGGAGGGTAGGTTAGTTGGTTGTTTGGTGGGGGATTTGGGGTTAGCACGTACGGCCGGCTGCGGGGGGTAGGATTTCGCGTCTACGATGTGGTCGCTGGAGAGGCGCTGGGGGCGCGAGTCCAGCGCTGTGAGGAATTGCTTTGCAAAGGCGAGCTCGGCCATTGTGGGATTGTGTTCAGACGAAGGTGTGAAGTCTAGGTGGCTGAGCACTTGGAATGGCGTTGAAGCTGTGTGAGACAGACGACGGCCACCGCGGGGACCAGGAACCTGCTCCAGCTCTCACCGCCCACGACACCGACCGCAGCGCACTAGACCCTATTGGGGCGCAGCGGGCCAAAATTTCCCAAGCGAAAAGAAAGTTGCTACAAGCTTCAGCCAGCGGCGCAACGAACAAACAAGCCTACTCTCTCTCTCTTAATTCTCTCTCCCCTCCACAGATCCCGACAGAAATCCGCAATCATGGGTGTCGGTCGCCGCATGAAGAAGCAGGGCCCGCCCCCGCCGCTCGACGAATCCCTCGTCACGCGCAAGCGCAAGAACCTCGACGAGGCCGCGCCCGCCCCCGCCGCTGCCACTGGCAAGCCGAAGAAGCGCAGGACGTCCGAGGAGGCCGCGCCCGTGAAGCCGGCCAAGGCTTCCAAGAAGCAAAAGAAGGAGGAGCAACAAGAAGTCCCAGTCAAGGCCGCGAAGAAGGCCACCAAGGGAACCTTTGCCAATGGCAAGGCGTCGCAGAAGGAGGTCGCCAAGGCTAGTGCTAAGGGCGGAAAGAAGGCTGTGCCGCCGGTTGAAGAGGAGGACGAAGATATGTGGGAGAGCGACGCGGAGGACTCCGAGGCCGACGTCGTGGACGAGTTTGATCTGGGCGGTGACGACGAGTCGATGCCCGACGACGAATTCTTGGACGACGGCGAGGATGTTGTCGACTCGGACGAGGAGGTCATGCGCAAGGGCATGTGGTCCGAGGACGAGGACGACGACGCAGAGGAGGAGCTCACGGCCGCCAACATCGAGGGTCTGTCGCGGAGGCTCGACATGGAGAGGGCGCGGGAAGAGGCCGAGGCGCAGGCCGAACTGGAGGAGGCCGCAATCCAGACGAACATTGCCGGTGACCGGCCCAAGATTCTCGCCGACTCGGACGACGAGGACGAGGGCGCTGCGAGCAGGCTGGCGCCCGATCTCCAGCTGTTGCGCACGCGCATCACCGACACGATTCGCGTGCTCAACGACTTTTCGAACCTGGCGGAAGAGGGCCGGTCGAGGGCCGAGTACACCGCTCAGGTTCTCAAGGACATTTGCGCATACTACGGATACTCGCCCTTCCTGGCGGAGAAGCTGTGGAACCTGTTCCCGCCCTCGGAGGCCTTTGCCTTCTTCGAAGCCAACGAGACGCCCCGTCCCCTGGTCATCCGCACAAACACGCTGCGCACGCATCGTCGCCAGCTCGCCCAGTCGCTCATCAACCGCGGCGTAACCCTCGAGCCCGTGGGCAAGTGGTCCAAGGTCGGTCTGCAGGTCTTCGAGTCGCAGGTCCCCATCGGTGCCACGCCCGAGTACCTCGCCGGCCACTATATTCTTCAGGCCGCGTCGTCGTTCCTGCCCGTCATGGCGCTGGCCCCGCAGGAGCACGAGCGCGTGCTCGATATGGCCTCGGCCCCCGGTGGTAAGACGACGCACATTGCGGCGCTGATGAAGAACACGGGTTGCATCTTTGCCAACGATGCCAACAAGGCGCGTGCCAAGGGTCTGATCGGTAACATTCACCGTCTGGGCGTCAAGAACACGATTGTCTGCAACTACGACGCCATGGAGTTCCCGCGGGTCATTGGCGGTTTCGACAGAGTGCTGCTCGACGCTCCCTGCTCCGGCACCGGCGTCATCGCCAAGGACGCGTCGGTCAAGACGAACAAGACGGAGAAGGACTTTATGCGGCTGCCGCACCTGCAGAAGCAGCTGCTGCTGCACGCGATCGACTCGGTCGACCACGCGTCCAAGACGGGCGGCTACATCGTGTACTCGACGTGCTCGGTGACGACGGACGAGAACGAGCGCGTGGTGCAGTACGCGCTGGACAAGCGGCCGAACGTAAAGCTGGTCAGCACGGGGCTGACATTCGGCAAAGAAGGCTTCACAAGCATCGCGGGCCGCCAGTTCCACCCCTCGCTCAAGGAGACGCGCCGGTACTACCCGCACGCCTACAACGTCGACGGCTTCTTCGTCGCTAAGTTCAAGAAGACGGGCCCCACGCCCGCCAACGCCGTCAACGCGTCCAACTCGAGCGCCAAGGCCGTGCCCATCAGATCCGCGGCCGCCGACGTCGAGAACTTTGCTGATAAGACCCCGATTGCGACGGAGGATGAGGCGGACGATGCCGCGGACGACGACTTTGGCGGCTGGGACGACGAGGAGGACCAGAAGCTTATTGAGCGCGCCCGCAAGTCGCAGCTGCGCCGCAAGGGCAAGGACCCGCGCGCCGTGCCGCCGCCGAAGACCAAGGCCGCCGCTGCTGGTGCTAAGGACATGACTGCCGGTGCATCCAGCACCACCACCACGACAACTTCTCCCTCAGCGAAATCGGACAAGAAGAAAAACAAGATCCACAGCACAACCGATAGCTCAAAGACCGCAGTAGCAGAGATCCCTGTCGCTGACGAAGCGGCTGCGGTTGCGGCTGCGGAGCACAAACAACAGAAACGCGAAAAGGCTGCCGAAGTGGCGGGGAAGCGCCAGCGTGAGGAGCGGACGTCGAAGAAGCTGGAGGAGAGGGTCGAGGGTGCCCGCAAGGACGAGGTCCAGTTGGCGAAGGAGGGGAAGAAGGATAGGGCCAGTCCGAAGGCGGCGAAGTCTTCGCCTGCTGCTGCGAAGGAGGTGGGGAAGAAGGAGGGGAGGAAGGAGGGGAAGGAGAAGAGGACGAAGAGGAAGTCGGGTTAGTGTGGGTATTTGGAGGATTTGGGAGGGTGGGGTTTGGGGTGGGTTGGGGGTAGGATAGGTAAAAAAGAGAAAGGAATTATATGTATGTTTTGCTTGGTTGTTTGGTTGGCTTTTTGACTTGTTTGGCTGGTTTGGTTGTATGGAGTGCGGGTTGTGTGTGCGTATGTGGGAGGGAGTATGTGTACGTGGGGGTATAGACACTAGTGGGTATAGAAAGATATAAGTATAGGTATGGTATGGTATGGTATGGTATACTTGATAAAAGCAATGGCATGTAGCTCTTTAACTACTCCCAAGGAGCTATAGGTATATAGGATAACTCGTGCTTCTCACGCTCTATCCAAGGGTTCTAGCGGCCCTGAAACATCGCTCTTAAGATAGTAAATCTTATACTACTATTATGACCAATTAGCTTTCTCTTTTCTGTCAGATTCTGCCGAAGTAGGTAAGCGGAAAAAGATAGTTAGAATAGCTAGAATATATAATTAAGCTATCTTGAGCTAAGATAAAAGTACGTTAAGTATGTACTCGAGTTTCACACCCGTTACCACCGGACTTGCAATTTCAACACACATTGTCAGTTGCACTTCTCCCTATTTTCTTCCCCTAGCTTACGCCTTTTACGAACCAACCAACTAGCTAACCAAGCATGCACAGCTACAACTCGGACCGCCCATCCAAGCGCAACTCGTCGAAAGTAACGACGCCATCGCCGTTCCTGTCGTGCCTGTAGTACACACACATACAGCATCAGCAGCAGCGCAGCACGACTAAGCAGCAAAACGCAGCAGCAAGGTCAACAAAACGCCAACGCACCTCCTAAACCAGTCAACATAAACCGGATCATCGACGGCGACGCCCATGTACAGCGTGTACTGGCGCAGGGTAAGCTCGGCAGTATCGGCGGCAGTGGCGCGGTCGAAAGCTGCGCGGTCGTAGGAGGGGCGCTTGCGGCAGCCTAGAGGAGGGTGGGGGGCGTTAGTGATGGTGGGGTTTCAGTAAGGTAGGGACTCAGAGGGACAGGGGAAATCATGGACAGAGCTAGTTATACGCACCGCCGTCGCAGTTGGCGCAGAAGATGTTGCACGGCCCGACGCCGCAGCAGGGCGTTGCGCGCGTGCCGTCAAAGCACCGTTTGTGCCCTGCGCCGCCTTCGGGGTAGCAGTACTCGACTGCTGCTGTGGCGGTGGGGAGGAGGGTGGCGACGAGAGCGAGGATGGTGCCGGGGTGCATCGTGGGCGGGGATTTTGTTTCTTTAATAAGAGAGCAAGGAAGAATGGATGGTTGAAACAATCAATCAGTGAGTGTTGAAGGAGGAGTCGGGAAGTTGGCTGACGTGCTTGCGCCTTGCTTGCCTCGACGACGCGCTTTTTATATCCCATTCTTCCCCCAACCACCTGTGCAGGAATGACTGAGGCCCTGCTTGCGTGGCTAAGCGTCTCGGTGTTGTTGGTGATGCGCGTTTTGCTGGTAGCGAGAGGAGGGACAGGTTTTGGTGACAGGGGACGCTGCACTGTTAGATTAAGAGTGCGTTTATGTTGCAGGGCTCGTGTAGTACAAGTGGGAAAATATCTCATGATAGAATGGCGGTGTGTTGGGGTTGGTTACTGCGTGCTGGGAGTATTATATCTATTATATAATTTGGTCTAATAATAGGAGTGCTTTTTACTCTAATAGTGTAGTCTTGCAGGCTATGCGTTGGATTTTACAGGGCTTACTTACCTAGTAGGTAGTTCATAGCACACCTTCCAGTTAGTAGTAGGTAGCCAATAATCAATTGATAACCTAACTCACCGCTCGTCAATTACTATCTAACTATCTTCCAAGCCCTCCCTTGTATCAGCAAGAAAATAGGCTCTTGCATCCGTACACTCCTAGGCCAACTACCTAAACTGCTAAGACTTTTGGCGCTGTTACGCACCTACTCCTACCTTCTCTACCGACCTGTTGCTACACAAGGCCCGCAGTAGAATAGGGAGTGAAGGTTACACTTCTAGGCCTAGTTGAACATTCGTGATACTCGACGATGGCTCTAGATTAGTAAAGAGAAAGCCCCTAAGAGACCGGATAACGTAGTAGGAGATAATAGCTAAGTAACGGTCGGATATAAGTATTCTAGACATGTACGTGTGGGACTTGCATATTAACGACGTGGTATTGTAATGCCCGCACTCCCGTCTCCCTTATTTTAACTATCTTCCATCACTATTATTAAAGCAAGCACATCTAATATACTCCTCTCTACTAAAACCCAATATGCGCCTTTCTATTGTATTCTCACTGCTTACTATACTCCCCTCTATCGCTATAGCCGATGGCCCCGGATATTTGTATACCCCTATTTCGACTATATGTACACCCCCCCCTCCCCCCCACTGCCGCCTGCCTAATTAGGTAAAGCGCTCGGTAGAAAGTTAACTTTGCAACGTATCTCGTAATAATACTACGCGCCCGCGTACCCACCTACAACTATAGCCTATAACTATAATTATACCAGCAGCTCTACTCGCGAAGAAACCTTACCGTAATACTACTAGTACCCGTAGAGGAGGGCGCGGGAGCGCTCGCGCACGCGAAAAAGCAACGTTTATAGTATATAATAACTTAAATAACTACGGGCTCCCCGCTTACCGCGCTGTAATAGTAAGGTTAGAGATATAAAATAATTTAGCTAATTTTTAGCGTAAAATAAGGGGTACTAGTTGCTGTTCCCCGCTAGCGCGTCCTCGCGCGGCGTCGCGCGAGCAGGTTGCGCCGAAGACAACTTTCTACCAGGTCCTTATTCTTACCCGATTAGGCAAGCGGTTGTGGAGGGGTGTACAGTACATGTAGTCGAAATGGTGGTGTACAAATATCCGGGGCCATAGCCGATTACTACAGACCAGCAGGCACCGTAAGCGGATCACCATTTATACCTCCAAGGCCCCCATTCAGATGCAATGACGGCACACCTAGAGCCCCTTGCTGTGGCTACGGGGGCTGCAACGTACTCTGTTGCAATTGCGACGGCGGTAAGTACGCTGTTTGTTTTTGCCCATTCCATCATATTCTATCTGTCCTCGTCTCCTGCTTTTAGTATCTCTAAGAAGAAAATAATTGCTCTGTAGGCTGTAGGCTGCAGGCACCGTACGTATATCGCTCAACAGATTTACCCTTTTATGCCTGTCCTAGCAGACGTCGAATGTGAATGCCGATGCCTTTGAACGCGCCAAAGGCCTCGACACTGGTGACCTTACCCTGCGCCGGTACACAGGTTACGTGGGTGTCTCCATTGACGATCCTATATACGTCGATTGGTTCAACAAGTAGGTACTGAGTGCTTGAAAGCACAGTGACATGAGCTGGTCAGAAGTACGGACACGACAAGAATGGTGATGGAGTCATCACAATCGACGAGGTTCACCTGCAGGACGATGGTGCGGAGGTGTAAGGCTTGTACAGTTGTTCACAGATATTTCTTGGCTGAAATGGCTGGAGTGATTGGTCATGCCATGAAGTAATTTCTCATAGGGACGGAGTGCTATTGATTATATTGTATCCGGGGATCACAGATCTAGTGGGAGATCGAATGCTTGTGACAGTTCTAAACCATCATACAGGGCTCTTCAAGCCCCAGTATAGGCCGACAAGCCCCGATTCGCGTTTTCGACTTTGTGGTACTTCCGCGGCCCCTCACCCTGTACGACGCCACCACTGCCAGCTAAGAAGTGTCACCGTTGACAAATTATCGCGGTGCCACTAGTAACTACCAAGAAGTACCCCGCTCGCGAGGTGACATGATGTACAACCAGTGATCAAGTAAAGCGGAGTTTCAAGGAATATATATCAAGCCCGACGAAGGAAGCATATCGGTTAAGCTCCTCTTCAGCGCCCTTGCTTATTCCTTACCTTACTGAACCTCACAATGCAACTCTCAACCATACTCAACACGCTCCTCGCCGCCCGCATAGCCGCAGAGTGCTGTCCAAGTCCATGGCGAGGACCGGGCGTTTCCCCGACGTGCAGTGACGGGTCGAGGCCCGACCACGACGGGTGCTGTGCCTACGGCAGCTGTCGCTACCGATTCAACTGCTGCGGATGCAGTGGAGGCAAGTGAGCTCCTAGCGCGATTTCCTCTTCACTGTGCCCACGCAACCACGCACTTGCTTACACGCCTCCTCAAAAAGGCTGCCGCTACTACGCTTCCACGCTCAACAGGCTCTCCCTTTCGCTACTGCTTTCCTCCAACCCTAGTCTGCATGCAGACGACTACTCCGCCCAGATTGTCCGCCTGCTTCATGCCCGCGAGCTTACTCTGCTCCGCTACACGCAGCTCATGGGTGTGCCTGCCGACGACCCTGTCTACGTGGACTGGTTCAACAGGTGAGTGACTACGCGTTTAGATATATATGCTGCTACAAGCTCTAGTATTGAGTCGCGTAGGCACGATAGAAATGGCGATGGAGTCATTACGGCCGACGAACTTTCCCTGGACGAGCTGGAGTTGTGAGACGTGGTTTAGGTTACTTAAACATGAAGCCACGGCTGCATTCTTGGGATGCTGAGTGTGGCCTATGGCGGGAGGCGATACTGCATCTTTCGTTGGCGAAACCGTTGACTTGACTTGATCATTTGGAAGTAAAATGAAAATTTAAAGAGGACCAACTACACCCACATGCTCGCTAAATCTCCTAACTCTGTACGTACAGTCATCCACTACATATCTCCAACCTCCACGTACATACACCACAGTAAAATAGCACATCCAGCTCACGAACTGCAAACCACAAACCCAATTATTCCTAAGCGTATGTATGTATAGACAGCATCCAGCATCCAGCAGCCAACACCACGCACAAGCGAGCAAGCAAGCGAGCGAGCGAGCGAGTGAGCAAGCCAGCCAGCCAGCCATGTAAAAAAGATCAAACGAAAGAGCGCCGTGCAAGACCTATATATATAGAGAAGAGCCAGAGCGGCGCCAACGACAGAAAAAAAGGAGAGAACGCCGTCCCCTGAAAGAGAGACGAACGAGCGAGTATATAATAAAGGCAGGCGTGAACAAACGGGTGCATCGAAACGCGCTGGCCTCCCCACCGACACCACCACCATCACCACCTCCTCCTCATTCTCGTCTTCTTCTCCCTTCAATCTCCACATCTCCGCCCCTATCACAGAAGCCTACACCAACTCGCCCTCGGCCCGTGCCCCCCGCGCCCTCACACTCTCCTCCCCCCCATCCTCCTCCCTCTTCCCCCACGACGCGTTCCTGCCCTGGGGCGCCGGCTCCAGCATCGGCTGCTGCTGCTGCTGCTGCTGCTGCTGCTGCGCGCCCTGCTCCGGCCGACAAAGCGGCAACTGGGCGTTCTCATCGGCGGCCCTCACGCCCTCCAACACGCTCTTAACGCTTTGCACAAACGGGGCGTTCGCCGCCATCTGGCTCGCATCCCAGAGCATGACGCCGGCAAAACTCGGGAAGCGCGCCGAGAACTCCAGCACGGGGCGCAGGCGGTCGGGCGACAGATAGCCGCTGCCAGCAGCCGTGCTGCTCGCGGGCACGCCAACCAGGACCTTTGCGTTGGGGCGCGCGCCGGCGATACGCCGCGCCCAGTCGTCCCACGTGTGCATGTTGAAGTTCCACTGCTCGGCGGCGCCCGGGACGAAGGAATTGACGCCGCAGTAGTTGTTGTAGAACTGGACGAAGACGGCGTCGACGCGGGAGCCGCCGTCGAGGAAGTCCTTGTCTGCGTAGTCGGGGTAGGGGCACTGCGGCGCGGCGGTTAGGAAGCGCCGTTTGCCGTCGGGCTGCGTGTCCATGAGCCGCCGCAGCTCGTCCGCAAAGGGCTTCATGTTGCTGGTTGCGGATTCGAAGTCTAGGTCGAAGCCGTCGATTGCGGCTGTGCTGAAGGGCCGGAGTGATGTTGTGTATGGGCTGCTGAGTGGCCCGAAGGTTTGCCATAGCATGCGTGCTGCGAGCTGTGCGGCGCTGGGTGAGCTGAAGCCGCCTTGGGTGTAGGTGGCTCCGCCTAAGGAGAGGAGAATGGTTTTGTTGTAGGTGTTTTGGCAGACGTGGATGTCGTTGCTGGGGCGGGGTTAGTTGTGCTGTGGTTTGATGGGACGAGTGATGACTAAAGGGAGACGGAGACGAAGAGAGATGGTTGACTTGATGGAATGGAAAAAAAGTGCTGCTATTTTCTCACTTGTTTTGCGAGCACACTTACGCTATGTCCGGACAGTTCATCGTGTTAGTCCCCGGGAAGACATTGCAACCTTGGTTCGCAAAGTTCATCTGCGGCAGGCCGTTCTGGTCCGAGATGACAGTGACAAACGCCAACGGGATGACCTAGCGCTCTACGTTACTCAAACCTTCCAACATCCACAATGGCTGCAGTACTTACGTCTATCTCCGGGTAGTCTGCGATGATGTCCATCAGTCTTTGATCCAATACAACAATAAACAGAGTTCCCTGACTTACTCTTGCAGTAGTACCCAAGTCTCTGCTGCGCTTCCGGGCCAGAGCCCTGGCCGTGTGAGTTCTGACCTACGCCACTATCAGCAAACCCCAATAGCAAGACAGGAGCAGCACGGTTGAGCACGCACCCCAATACACGACGACATTAGTTTTGGCATTAGGATCGAAGCCAGCATAGGCGCCGCGAAACGCCCCCAGCGCCAGCATGGCCGAGGCAATCTTCGGCAGCGTAAACATATCTCTTTAGCGGTTTGGTAGCGGCCGAAAAGGTATGGTATAGTACTGTAGGGATCCACTGGCAGCGAGAAGAAAAGAGCACACACGGTTTGCAACGAAACGGCCACGCACGGCCCAGACCTTTATACCTGCTGAGTCGGCAGTCCAGGGCGCGTGTGGAGCCCGCCAAGGTGGCAAGCTACCCACTCGTCGTGCTCACCTCCGCAACGGCAAGCAGGGCAACCACGATGGAGCGAGCGAGCCTGTGCGTGGTAGCACGCTGCGCGTCACACCTCGCGTCTCCTCTCTTTTTCTCTCTCTGCATGCTCGTCATCGTCTTCGAGGCGTGCAACGCTTACCGAAGCCCAGAGAGAAAGAGAGAGGGATTGGTCCGTCCACCGCTTAGGCGCGTGATCCGCCACTGCTGCTGCTCTGGTGTTTGAGGAATGCTGGCGCGCTGGATCAGGCTGGGCGTGTTCGACGCTGCCCAGCCCAAGTGACGCGGAACCAATATTCCTGTCCGCGGCGAATCGTCATTGCCGGCGTGGTGTTTCACGCCGTCTATGCGTCGACTCCAAGCTCAGAGGGAAGGAGGCGTAAGAGCATGAGTAGAATCCGCTTCAATCGATCCGATGCGTCTGGACAAGATACTAGCTCGCCAGGACGCAGCATTGTCGACTCTCGCGCCGGACAAGACAGCCGCGCGAATGGAATGGGGGGCCTCGTCTCAAAGCAAAAAAGAATCCAGAGGTAACTAGAGCAGGCGCCTCGCGATCAGGAAGTTCCTGGGCAGCGGAGCTAGGCCCAAATGGAGGCCTGTCAGACGCGGCGGCCCGCGGCGTACGCGACCCGCGTACCAGGCACTGGGTGCGCAAGACAAAGCCGCCGCATTCGGCACAACTGCAGCCACCGACACTGTGGTCCTCCGGCATTGAGGCCCGCGGCGGCGCGCGTCATGTGAAGCTCTGTCCTAAGGCAGGAGGCTATAACGGTTGAGAAAGAAAGACACCAAACCTCACTGCGCTAGCGACGCGGCGAATGAACCGCGCCAACCTACCTTGCACGCCCAAGGCAATCTAGACAATGCCCTCCGCCATGTTGCACAATGCCTTCCGCCAACTCCTCTAGAACAGTGAATCGAGAAACTCACCATCAAGGCCAAAACCCACGCACGCATGACCTTGCCGCTCTGACCAGAACCAGACAAAGGATCAATGCCAAAGTCTCAGGCACCCACGCATAAAGCAGCTCCCCCTTCCGCAGCCCACCTCCCGGCCCTACGCCTGCAGCAGCAGCAAAGTCAGCAAAAGCCTTGCGCCACCAACGCCATCGCAGCGTCGCCTGCAAGGAGCCGACTGCAAGTGCTCCGCTGCATGCAGGCAGCCGCATATCCATGGCTGGCAGTGTGACAAGCAGGCCGTGGCACCAGCGACGCCGACCGCGCACGTGGGTTACACGGCTGCAGGCAGTTGCGGCGGTCGAGGAGCCGCCGGCGCCTGTCTGTGTGCTGCGCGTACGCGTCACATGCGGACCAAGCCGACGGATCGAGCTCCGCTGTGCTACGGTGTCCTGGCATTAGCTCATAGCAAGCAGGCGTTAACCATCCGCTATCAACCGAGGAAGCTGGTCGATGTACTAGAGCTCTTGTCGGGCGTTGCGGCGTGCCGTGCCCCGTATGTGTAGACACTGGCTACTGACTGTCTACCTGCCTACGCAAGGCTGTTCGAGTACCTGGTCTTGTATACGTACTTAGTGTAGGTATGTATGTATGTATGTATGTATGTAGGCAAGGCCTGCACCGCACAGCATAGTCGAGACGGAGCCGCCTCTCACTTGCAGGCCTGACCTGACCTGACCAGGCAGGCAAGACAGGCACGCGACCAGACCTCGCTCGCCCTAGGCAGAGAGCCCTTGCAGAGCAAGAAGAAAGGAAGAAGGCCTAATCCGTTTCCCTGCTCAGAGTCAGTCAAGCAACGAGTGCGTGCGTGCGTGCATGCATGCGTGATCCAGTACTCCGTAAACTAGCCACCACGCCATGGATAGCACCCAGGGTCACAGCTCACCGACAACGGCGACAAAGCCATGTCTATCGACTGTTGTCCGAATAAGCAGCAGCGGCGAAGTTCAGCCGGAAATGAAGGGACCCTCGGTTGGCCTCGCAGCTGAAGCCCAGGGTCCCCGGCCTGCCGGCCGAGCTAGTGTACACTATGTATACATATGTAGGTAGGCACACACACACACCGGCCGCCCTGCCGCGATAAAGCGAAGCGGTGCGGGGAGGCGTGATATCAGCGGCGCACTCCTACCTACTCCTACTCCTACCTACAGCGAAGACGCCAATGCTCCATCACCTATCACCTAGTACTCGTAGACCAGCGACGATCTCGCACGAAAAAGACAGTCGCACTATAGTTATCGGTAGATCCTGACTGTTTACCAATATCAATTTATCTGCAGCCACAAAAAAATCCAACTAGATCAATTGCCTTGCCAGCAAGCACGTACATTTCGCGCGAGACACAAGCAGCCGTACCCCGCGACTCACTGCGCCGGGGTCTCAATGCCCGTGTAGTGTACGCGTACCCAAAGTCCGCCGGCGGCCGTCGCGCCCTTAAAAACTCCCAGAACAGAAAAAAAAAAAAATAAAATAAATAAATAAAATAAAATAAAATAAACAAAACGCCCTAGTATCAGACTCCACAGTATGTGCCGGGTATCTCGTCATAATGCACAAACGCAATCGCCTTGCCCTTCCGGCAAAATCGCCTTTAACTGCGGCGACATCACCGCAGCTCCGGCGCCACTGCCGCCGCAATATCGCGGTCGATCGGCTCCGCCGCCGTGTCCTGAGCCTCGTCCGAGTCGTCCTCGTGGTCCTCGACTGGGGGCCTGCCGTCCCAGAGGCGGACCCACCAGGCCGGGGGGTCGAGGGGGCGGATGCCGTTGTTGAGAGGCGGGAAGACGTCATTGAAGAAGTACCACACTGCCGCATCTCATTAGCGCACGTTCTTCAGATCCACTCCGCTCGCCGCGCGGCTGGGATAACGTGACTTACCGTGCCCAACGACAATGCCGCACATTTCGTCCTTGGGGACGGCGCCGTGCAGCACGATGCTGAACAGCGCGAGCACCCACGGCAGGTACGGGGCCTTGAAGATGAAGAGGCCGAGGAAGCTGAGGTTCGTGTCGGGGTTCTTGCGGCTCCAGATGTAGACGAGGGTGCTGTTGAGGGCGGAGCCGAGGAAGGCCATGGAGAAGACGGGTGCAATGCACAGCAGGACGGCGGAGGCGTAGAAGAGGAGCCAGGAGAAGTGGGCGGGGGAGCGGCCGTAGCCTTCCTCGAGGAGGCGCGAGTAGCGCTGCAGGAAGAAGACGTGGAAGAGGAGGTCGAGGCTGAGGGGCCCGAAATAGAAGAACGTCGACAGAATGCGCCAGTACTGTGGTTGCGGTCAGTGGCTTTGTCTTGTCTTGTCTTGTCTTTGGCTCGCGCTCGCGAGCCATGCGATCAGCCTGCGTACCTGGTGCTTGTAGAAGACGGAGCGGAAGCTGTAGAACAGCTGGAATGGTGTGATGACATGACACTGGACGAGGACGCTCGCGACAACGGTCAGAGTCGTCCACCAGCGCGTGCACACGGGCATCTCATAGAACCACTGCTCGAGCGGAAGCTGGCCCATCATGCCGTCACCACCGCCGAGCATGGCCGCCATGATGATGATAGCAGTGGAGCGAAGGCGAGAAGAAGGATGGGATGTGGCGGATAGAAGGGCGGCGCGGCGAGGAGCGAGGATATAGGGAGCGACAAAGGCGGGAAAGGTGGAGGAGAGTGATTGGGGAGGGTTAACTGTTACGTTGCCCCATTGCCCGCGGCGCCAAGCCGCTAAGATAAGGCTGCGGCTTCGGGGGGCATTGAAGCACGACCGAAACCGTCAACACACAACACAACTCCACTAGTAGGTACTAGCTGGCATCGCGCGCGCTGCAACAACAACCCATGCTCTCCAATTAGCCAGACGCGACTACCGTCACCACGACAATTAATCCTCACACACACACTCTCTCTCTCTCTCCACTTATGACAAGCACCAAGCAACGCGGGCGCCCCGCCGGCTCCACGAACAAGAACCGCAAATCCATCGGCTCCTCAGCCGCAACACCGCGCGGCAAGGGCGCAAAGACGCAGAAGCGTCTGTCGGGAGTAGAACGTAAGGCCACCACAAGCGGCGCAGCGCCGAGGGCGAGAGGACGTGGACGCAGACGCAGCGTCGCGTGAGAGCGTCGTAAGAATGCGCCTAGCGCGTCGCACGCCTCACGCCCTCTGCGCGCACGCGCACGCGCTCCGAAAGCACATCCAGAAAGAACGAACGAGAGAAAGAAGGCTAACTTCACGCGCACGCGCCCTCTTAGCCGGCGACCCCCTCCCCCTCGGCCGCAAGAAGCCGCGCTACAAGCCCGGCACCCTCGCCCTGCGCGAGATCAAAAAGTACCAAAAAAGCACCGACCTGCTGCTATTGAAGCTGCCATTTTCGCGCCTCGTAAGCCGCACCAATCCCACCATTTCCAATTCCACAAACTCCGAACCCGCCCACGAAGCGCGCACTAACTCCCCACGCTCAGGTCCGCGAAATCGCCCTCTCAATGACGGCCACGGGCGAGCCCATGCGCTGGCAATCGCAAGCCATCCAAGCGATCCAGGAAGCCGCCGAGGCCTTCCTCGTCCACCTCTTCGAAGACACGAATCTCTGCGCCATCCACGCCAAGCGCGTCACTATTATGCAGAAGGATATTCAGCTTGCGAGGCGCATTCGCGGCGCTTGGGGAGGATTGGGTTGATGCGCGGGGGCGGGATGGTGGGGACGGGATGGGGGGTGGAGGGCGGGGACTCGGGGACTTGGGGACTTGGGGAGGGTTGGGGAGGTAGGTTGGGGAGGCAGGGCGGGGAAGTTTGAAGGAGCCGAGTGTGCGGGGCGCGGTATGGGTTAAGCCACCAGTGCAGAGGACGGCGGCGTTTTTTGCGTTTAGGGGGCTTTTGTAATGACGGTGAGTGCGTTGCGTTGCGTTGCGATGCCAGGCCGAGGGATATCGGACTCGGGATATCGGACTCCGGAACAGGAAGTGCGAGTCTCGCGCTCCAGCCAGGCAGTCGGACGTCGTGTTGTGTGGGTGGGTTGGCGGGATTAAGGCCGGGATTGAGGGAGGGGCTTCCTGTTCTCGTTCTCATTCTCGTTCTTGTTCTTGTTCTTGCTATGGGATACGACACGTGCAGCTGCTGCGCGCGTCTAACGCTCTCACCTATGTATTTCTCCGGGCAAAGCGAGGCGTTACTACGGGGTTGAACGATTGATTACTTGTCTACGGTATTAGTGGTGGTGCAGAGGGCGAGGTGCGGGTGAGGTGAAGTGAAGTGAGGTGAAGTGAGAGGCGGACTATTGAGAGTAGGTCGTGTGCCTCTCTCCTCTCTCTCTCCTTCTCTCACACTCCATACACCCACCAAACCACACCACAACGACATCTGCCCTCGCTCTTTCCTTCCGGCCCCCTCTCCACCAAACCCATCGTCTATGCATGTAGAAGCATCGTCTAGAAGCCACAGCTGCCGTGGCGCACTACCTCTAACAAGCCCGTATACAAACAAGTAAAGCAAACGACCTCTTCTCTAAGCATTCAATCCCTTCCTTCCTACCAGATGGCTAAGCAGAGAGCTATACAACACGACACAGCAGCGACGCCAAACCACAGAACATAGAGTAGCATAGTGCACAGCACCACAGCTTATCTATCTACGTAACTCAGCATCCCTGCTTACTTTATATACATACACACCCCTTTGCTTCATCTAATATACTTCCCGTAATAACCACGCAGCAGCCAACCAACCAACCAATCAACCAAGCAAGCAAGCCCAGCCCCCATCCCCGTCCCAAACGTAGGAGGACCATCTCAAGCAAGCAAGTAAGCAAGCAGACAACAAGAATGCAATCAAAAAAGGACACAGCGCGAAGCAATACCACCCAAGCGACGCAGAAAAAGAAGAAGAAGAAGAAGAAGAAGAAGAAGAACAAGAAAAGAGCAAAAGAGACGAAAAGAAACGTAAAAAGAAGAGAAACGCCGCCACTCCGTCCCGTCCTATCCCAGCCTACCTAGTCCGTTTAATCCACCACTCCCAAAAGAAGCCAGAGATCCGTGCCCCGTCCATATATACCTACCTACCCACCCAGACCAAACTGTTTGTTCGGCGCGCCCACCTCCGCACCACGACAGGGAAGGCGGAAGGAGGGAGAGAGCGCGCCCGTCTTTTCCTGTCATCGTACCTCGTGTTCGTCATCATAAAAGCAAGCAAGCAAGTGCAGCGCAGCCCTAAACGCCTCGGCCATGCAACCACCCAGTCAGCCAGCTAACCAGCTAACCAGCTAGCACACCAGCCACCTAGTTCGACCCCCTCAGCTTCTCAACAAAGCGCTTGCTGTCCGGGCTCGTCGACGGCGAAGTGAATATGTCTTCGCCGGAAACACTGCCCTTGCGCGCCGGGGTAGCACCGTGAGCAGCGGCCGAGCTCCTGCGCCTAGGGCCCGCAATCCTGCTCGTCGGGGTCTTGACCTCGGCCCGCTCCTCCGGCGCATCAGAGACGCTGTTCGGGCGGCCCATGCCGGGCAGGTGCGCCAGCGGAGACGAGACGTACGGCGAGCCGGTTTGGCCCTGCGCGGCCGCACCTCCAGCAGTCGCCGAAGCGGGCTGCGGGATCGACGAGCGCGTGCGGTAGCTGTCCTCGCTGAAGCGACCGCGGGTCGGACGCGGCCGGTCCGTCGCCCGTGGGCTCGGCGGCGGCAGCGGCGCGTGGTCCGGGATCGTCTGCAGCGGCGCGAGGCCGCGGGGGGGCCCTTCGCGCGGCCCTGCGCCTGCGCCGGGCAGGTTCGACAGCCCCGCGTACGACTGCACCTTTTCGACGGAGCGGCCGCGGCCGAGGCGAGGACGCTCCACGCGCGTGAGCTTGGGCTGCGCCGGGGCGGGCGCCGTCACCGTGACCGAGACCGGCGCTGCCGACGCGGGGACGGGGATCGAGGTGCGGGGCTGCGAGGGGGCGGCCGTGGTGGTGTTGCTGCTGCTCGTGGGGATGGACGAGGGGGCCGGGATGCGCGACGGCGCGGCGGCTGCGGCGCGTGGCACGCTGTTGGGCATGCCCATGCCGGGGAGGTGCGACAGGGGCGCTGTCGCAACTTCAACCTCAACTTCGGGCGCCGGCGTGGAGGCCGGGGATGAGCTCTCGACGTCACGCTTCTTGTTCGGAATGCCCATTCCGGGCAGGCGCTCGACGACAGGCGACGTTAGGCTGTCCTCCCTAGACCGTTTGCGGTTGTGAATCGGCCTGAGCGGCTGCGTGAAATCCACATTTGGCCGGATGTGCGTCGGCGGGACACGGCGAGATTGGGGAACAGTAGCGATATGATCCCGATAGCTGGGAGGCTGGGTGAACGTCACTGGCGGCTCCAGCGCCTCCTCGGTCGGAAGTTCTGAAGCGGGTGCGGTGGGAACTTCGACGGTGCCGGCGGCGGGGGTTTCGGCCGAAACTTCGGCGGGAATTTCTGCGGAATCGGAAGCAACCTGCTCTGCAACGTCCGCGGTTGGTTCGACGGCGGGCTCGACGGCGGTTTCGACGTCGACTTCGGTGGAGGCTATCACGGGGAATTTGGCAGAGATTTCCAGAGGATCTTGGGCAGGCGCGTCGATGACGATTTCACCAGGAACCTCTACCGCTGGTTCCGCGGGGGCCACCTCCATGTGTACGACAACTGGCGACGGTGGAGTCTCCACGACAGGCTCAGAAGACTCGACGGGAGCCGTTTCGGTGGGTTCTGCAGCAGCAACGGGCTTCTCAGGCTCCACGGTGGATGGCTGCTGCTCCTTCGCTTCGATTTCCTTGGATCTTGGGTGCTTGGGCTTTCCCTTTCCCCTCAACGACCTCCTCTTTCTCCATTGGAGGAACAAAACAATGGAGCCAGCGGCAACGGGAAGCGACAGGGCAAAAGCCCTCCGGGAGAAGAGCTTTAGCACCTGCTGCTGGATGGATATGACCCTGCTTGAAGAAGCCTGCGATTCGTGAGCTGACTGTTTGTGCTCCGAAGAAGCGGGATAGAGCTGACCATGGTGGGCGAGTCTCTCAAAGACACGGGTTGACGATTGGTAGATGGTGGTCCGCCACAGCTTGCGAGTAAGTATGTTGGCGGTGTGGCGGGACGGGGGAGCGGAAGGACACGGGGTGGTGGAGGAAGCGCAGCGCGTCGTAGCAACGGCACTTAAATAAAGCGCGTGGCACCGTTAATGGGCAGAAAATTGAGTCACCATGTGACGCAGGAAAAGTTGATCCGTGTTTACAAACGTGCCGTTGACGGGGCGTTCATCGGCTGCCTGAGGGGCTTATTGACGTGTTCGCATATCCATCTGGGGCTACCCCAGTTGATCACCAGCCCTACCTTATCCAATATCACGAGCGGACGCAGAGGCTGGGAGCGGAAGCTGAGGCGGCGTCTGACATTGATGAGGGACCCTGAAGACCCTGATATTCAAGAATTGCTACCCCGTGGAGTCTCTTTGGCTCAGCGGGAAGCATTGCGCAGGACGGCCTGTCGCGGCCGTCCGTAATCCGGTTTGTGTGCCTTGTTTCTTGATCGATCGCTTGGACATGCATCGATCCGTGCTTCTAGCGGCGAGCATGGACGCGGGCGTTGGGAGCGAATGGCGTATGATGCGGCATTCTCTGCACGCCGAAAAAGAGTGGGCTGACGGTTGTCTGATCAATTGGCCCGCAGCATTCGGCTCGGAGAGAGCGGGAGTGCCGTTGAGGGTTGAAACACGCGGAGGAGAACGGTGTAGAGAAGTGAAAGAGCGGTATCGAGCCGCATCAGGCGAGCAAAAAGTCGAGAGCCAATCAAATCTCGTCCGCCGGGGCCTCCTGGAGCCGTCAACGTCACGTGCCCTCTCCTCGCAACTAGTGCCGATTCGGTAGGTGCAGCAACATCAAAGCCCGTCGTCTGGTGATGGCTGCCGCTGCTGCAGTGCGCGTAGGAGCCTTGCCATACGGCCTTGCCGGCTGGTGTTTTGGTTGGATCATCGAAGCACCTACAGTACAAGTATGACTCCGTCGGCACTCGCATCTCGTCCCTACTGTAGCACGCCCGATGTATACATAAACTCAAACAGCCGACTCGGCAAGCTGCATCTACCCGTACTGCGTTTGCTCGATGCGTTTCAGCTTCTGAAACGCAACAAGATCCGATCGCGGCATGTATCATGTCTCCAGCGTCCGCGGCCAATGGATGCCAGCCCTCATGGTTCGGCGAAACCTCAAAGCCGGCTTCTGACCGCCGACAACCTCCACTGCGCGTTTGCTATCGCATGCCCCCGCCCTCCCTCCTGCACGCCATTGTACTCTGAACCCGATGCCCACCTGCAAGGAGCTCAGGCGCAGTATGACAGCCTACCCGGTGGGGAATTGCGAGAGCGCCGCTTTGTATGACCGCATCGCTTGGTACGGGGCAGCAGTTGAGCGGGCCTGCGGGGAGGCTAGCCACAGCATGGTAAGACTGCTGCCATCAGTTTCAGATTGTTGCTTCTCTTTCAGTCATTCATTCCTCCGCTTCTCGTAATCCATCCGGATGCTGCTGAGACATGTTAGCCATCACCAACTAACTAACTCAAGCGGACCGTCACCGTCCTGCCAAGGACTTTTGGAGTCTAAACGCGTACGGGTGGGTTAATCGCAACCTAGCATGTCTGCCAAGCTCTCACAAGCTGCCCGTCTTATTGTTTCCATGGGCGGAACCTTGGCGCCAATCCGGATTGGGTTGTCGTCTTTCAAGACATCGACTCGAGACAAACAGCACTCACGTGACGTGTGAACAGGCAACAATGACGAGGATCGAGAGGCATCTGAATACATCACAATCCGTTCGCCACACCTATTTTTGCTTTTAGGCAGCATTCTGGTGTGACTGTCGGCACCTACCGGACGTTGCAGGCCAAAGCGTGCGTCGATCACGTGGCATATAGTTTTCGACGCGCGCTTCCTCAGAATCTCAAAACACCATTCCGCCCGCCTTCCTTCCCTCACTACCCACCGACATCCGAACACCACAACGTAATCTCATCTTTCAAACTTCAGATAGCCGGTCGCATCGAGCCACCGAATCCGATCCCCGAGTTACATTACTACAAACGATCATCATGCCCGGCGGCAAAGGTACCAAACTTCACGGCTTCACGGATCTCGGGAATATCGCTAACGCGTCGATTTTGTCGCGTTTACAGGCAAATCTGGTGGCAAGACGGGTGGCAAGGGCGACTCCACCGTCAAAACATCCAAGTCGCACTCGGCCAAGGCCGGTCTTCAGGTAAGGCTGCCTGCGCACCCCACGTCTCAACGCGTCACGTCATAATGGTTGTTGGTCTTGCCATATGTCCGACGCGCACATTTGGCGGTGGAGCGAGCATCTAACATTTTCGTCGCCAGTTCCCCTGCGGTCGTATAAAGCGTCACCTCCGTAACATCACGCGCCAAAAGACGCGCATCGGCGCCAAGGCTTCGATTTACCTGACCGCCGTCCTCGAATACCTCACCGCCGAAGTGCTCGAGCTGGCCGGCAACGCAGCAAAGGATCTCAAGGTCAAGCGTATCACGCCACGCCACTTGCAGCTGGCCATCCGCGGAGACGAGGAACTGGACACGCTCATCCGGGCCACGATTGCTTTTGGCGGTGTCTTGCCGCACATCAACCGCGCGCTCCTGCTCAAGGTCGAGCAACGGAAGGGCAAAAAGGCCGGTGAGGTTTAATCGTGGGTTGCGTGGGGGCAATATTTTTTCTTGGATGTGGAGTGATGCAAAACAATGGCATAATACCCGGCCCGGGGAAGGAAATGGGCCATGACGCACGGCTTTGGAGGCGCAAGCACGGTTTCAACGGCAAG